AAAAAAAAAAAAAAAAAAAAAAAAAAAAAAAAAAAAAAAAAAAAAAAAAAAAAAAAAAAAGCTTAGGCTTTTATATTTTATTTATTGCTTTAGTCGATTGAAAAAGGAGCTATATAGCTCCGAAATGTCTCGGGTTGTGTTATTATATTTTAGCCTTGTTAACCCATTTTATTTTGTTTTATTATCTGTATTTGGGCTACAAAAATTCTCAACATATGTCTGTTATGTACATATGTAGACTATAATTTATGATGTGACAATGCATCATAACCCCATGGCTCCATAAACAGAGTATAATATTATTTATTTAGATACTTATTTATTCGTGAGAATAGGAATGCTGTCACTTCAGTCCCTGTTCTAACTTGGGCTCTTCTTTTACAAAATTTTTAGACCTCCAAAAAATCTCATTGTAGAGGCAATGAGTTTGGGTAGGTGGGGGTGACGGCCGCTGTATTGCATAAAAATTTTGGAAATGTAGTGAAATATCAACTATAGACACTAAGGTACAAAATGGCACACTTACCAGAATTTTGAAAGCATTTCCGAAATTTTTACGAATTTTGATTATAAATTTCGGAAATACTTTCAAAATTCTGGAAAAGGGTGCCATTTCGTGCCTAATGGTCTACATTTGATATTTTACCACACTTCCGAAATTTAAATGCGGTGCGGCGGCCGACAGAAGGCCGTAACGAGGAAGTGTGCCCTTTTGCCCCCACCTACCCTACATTTTAGGATCTTTGGTAATTGTTAATAATATTTAGTAAAATATGTAGTAAAAGATTTAGTATTAGTAGTATTAGTTATTAGATTGAGTATTACTGGTATTTTAGCGAGGGCCACATGCGGCTTTTTGCCCCATCGGACCTACAGCTTTTTGCCCCATTTGATGATGTAGGTAAACATAACCTCAAAATTCAAAGCCAAGGCCATTAGCCCAAAAAAGACTGCGGGATATTCAAACCATCCTTATCATTGTTTGAACTGCAGCACGCCCGAATTTTTCGGTCACCTACAGAACTTGAAATTCACCAAAATAAAACTGGAAAAATCGATTTTTTTACACAAAAAATTGACTCTCCTCATATTTTCGAGGGAACACGACCGTTCGGTCCGAAACTTCCTCAACGCAACAACACCACCACTAGTCATATTTTGTTTGACGCAACAACTTGGGACATCTCATAACAATCGTATTTTGTTCGGATGTTCTTTCTGTTAAGGGGCAAGCCTTCTTTTATTCGTTTACTTTTTTGCACAATTTGGCAACGTTTCTGCAACATCGTTTCGAAAAAATTGGAAAGTCCTTGGAGCTTACGACTGTTGTGTGCATTTGTTAACAGGATGTCTAACCTCACGTCTAGCTGTTTTGCTCTCATTGGTTGTGACAAAGTGATGCAAATAACACAAAATAGGTGACAGGAAAAATTGTTGCATCATACAAAATACGTCTAAATAACTAACACGGTCACGGTGCCACCCTAAACAATCCTTGAAAAAAAACTGGGGTGGGGCTTTTTGCCCCAAGCAGCAGCCTTTTACCTCCACCTACCCTATGGTGGTAAATTAAAGACAAGTCAAACTGAAGAACGCATCTTGATGTCTTTTTGCATCCAACAGATATTAACGTACACAATTCCAAAATTTGAGTCTCATCTCCCCCTCGGCATCCTCCGAAATTTCTTAGAGTCTGAAAATTTGGGAACACAAGGACCCCAAAATGAATCATCAATGTTTTAGGGAAAGCCAGTAGCAGAGGGGGGGCAGCAAAATGACATTCAAGAGAGCTCTTCTCACTCCTAATTAATTTTTTTAAAAGGGTATTACAGAACAATTCTGAATGGATCCTTCTGAAAGTTTTCTTAAAATTGAGAGGGACGATCACACAAAATTTTCAGCGCTATTTATGATTGATCTAATTGACCAATTAGATTTTTTAAAGGATATTTTACTGATTGTCTTCAACAGATAAAAAAAAATCCCCTGCCAATTTGTCCATTTCAACCCCTTCGTGACCTTTGAGGGGAGGTTTTATGTTGGTTATAAAGAGCAACGAATACTGGTCTTTAATAAAAAGTAAAGGCCTATTGTGCCAAAATGCGTGGTACCTACCAGTTATAAGATATAGATAATGCAATCCATGTGTTTTCCAAAGTATGTCTTGGCAGGACCACTGCTCTAGGCAGCAGTGATGGCTTTGTGAATAAGTAGAGATTGTAGTCACTTACTCAATCAAACATAAAAAAAGCATCACTACTTACTTGTTCTAGTCAAGTATCAAAACATAAAATATCTCTGGTTAGAGTATGATTTCCGAGAGATGAAGGCGAATCTCTTAAGTAAATGTAGTGATATTTAATTACCCACTTTATTTCAAGCCCATTTGACAGAGCCCCTTCATAAATTTGAAGAGCGCTCATTCACCTAAGAAAATACCCTTGAAAGAGTACGATAAGTATGTATCTTACCATTTTCTTTGGTTATGTAACCAACATTGTCTAAATTAAAAGAATGGTTTTTATGACTAAAATCTAACTGCAAATCATTGTAACTGTCATTATCATCGACTGGCACACTCATTTGCAGCACCTGTAATCAAACAAGACGAAGAAAAGGTATAAATGTAAATGAATGAAGTAAAAAAATGTTCAAACTCGTTGAATTTACTTGTTTATACCGGCTTTTCTTCTAACAATCCGTGTCAATTTTCTCTGTGGTGATAAGAACATGCAGATTTATTTTAACTGTTGGATCGTTCTGGTTCTACCGTGCTAAGGAAAAACGCTGTAAATACATCAATATTTTCCCTCGTTTTTTGGGACTTAACACTCTATAGAATAAAAACTGTTTTACCCGCGTACCTCAAATTTTCAGATCAAGTTCTTGATAGTATTTGCAAACAAATTCAGTAAAAACATTGTCTTGAGGTACACAAGTTTTTCTGCTATGATACATTGTTTCCAAAAAATGTATAATGGCGTTTATGGCGTTTATGGCGTTTACGGCGTTTTTGCGTCGCACGGCAGCTTTAGTTTGCTAGTTCATATGTTGGTAGAATGTGTAGGCAGGGGATTCTAGCCCCTGCCAGGAGTGACAGCCTGTCAGGCTACCCTGTTATCACTTCCTGATATACCTTTGTCTTCTGTCATGTCTCCGTGAGTCTCTTTTTTTCATCTTGCTCTTTTTCGGCATTTTACGATGCATTAACAACAGTGTTGCGCGCCCAATCCTTTCATTGAAATTTTTTAAGCCCAGCTGTTCTGCAACAGTTAGGCATGTTGGTTATTTGATAAAAAAAAAAAAAAAAAAAAGTAGCTCCTTGTCGCATCGTACATTTAGGTAAAAAAATAAACACACCACATCCTCGGGAAATTCTTTGAATAATAAGGTTAATAATCCCATGTACAGTTGTATGATTTCACCGGTATATATTGCAAGTTTTCTAGGTTACACTTTACGTATTGTCTCCCTTCTTATATTTATACACACACGATCCTTTGTTTGTCCATTCATCTTTATTTCCCATCCATATTCCTTATCCCTCTGATAGCACTAGTTTATTTAAATTGATTTGAAATAAATGAAATTCCACTTAAATGTTACGTTTAAGTCAAATTTAAATTTTGAAGATTGATTCCACTCCTGGGTAAAGCTTTGTGGTTAGTTCGCAATAATATCAACGTGAATACGTTGATTTTTTGCAAAAATTTGCAATGTAGGTACAATGTTATGTACATCATTTCTAATCCTTGATCAAGCATTTAACTGGAAATCTGAAGCTTGTCATAAAATGCAAAATTTTCAAAGTGCTGACGATTAAAATTAGGTTAGAGAAGCATGTGAGGAGCAGAATACAAAAAAAAAAGTGTACATTTAATGACCTTGTACTTTCAAAACATCGGAAACTCGAGAGCTTTTCTTCAAAACATACAAAACTCCGAGGACCATCAAAATCTGACCACCTGCCTAACTCAGGCATTCAGACAAACAGACATTTTATCAAATGTCTGATTTGACTTTTTGCCTGTAACACATGTTTACTTTGCTTTACATAACTGTGAATACATAAAAACCTTATAGGCTGCAATGGAGGTCAGTTACGTGATGAATACATGGACTTAATAGAGAGCATAGGCGTTCAATGATAAAGAATTCTTCCAGGGAATAATATTCTTAAACACCTAACCTGAATGCTAATTTCTTAAAAAAAATTGCCTCCCTTCTCCTAAACTCATTGGATACAACATTACATATTTCAATTCCTACGTTGCCAGTGAGATTACAGTTTGAATTTGATTTTACATGCAACTGTAAATCATTCTGACTCCTGTTGTAATAGTGGAAAATTCGGCCAAAGGGTATGAAGTCATATTGAAACTGTGAAACAAGCTTGATTAATGCATGTATAGAATACATGGTTGAGTTAGGATGAACAAGAATTCAAACATACTTCCGTATTTTAAAACCAGAGTTGGAAAAGTGGACCTGTCACTCTCAAAAATACTCATGTAAGCACCAGAGATGGGAACTCCAGAAAAACAATAAAAATTGTTTTAATTGGCCCATTGTAAATCTTGAAGATTAGAAAAATGAATTTGTGATAAGATTGAAATTTAAAATCATATTGTGGTTGTTTCAGAAATTTTCCATTAATTTAAACGGAAATACAAAAAAAAAATAAAAAGATATTGGCTGTGAGTCTTTTTGAGAGTAAATAGACTTATTTCAACATAATTTCCCCATTTAAAACTCAATATTTAATATTTCAAGCCGTAATATGGGCAACAAATTTTAATTACATTTTCTCTACAAGGTAAGATGATGACTCACTTGCTGATGATCATTAACAAGTGTAAAAACTTACTAAGATCTGAAACGAAAATTTAGCGACAGCGCCATGTTTTGGAGGCGTGCAGTGAGTTTGGAGTCCCTCTTGGGGGATTTTAAATTTGTCTGCTAACTTCAATAGATGGCTAGTATCTTGACAAGTTTTTCAACTGGTTTGCGATAGCCAGGAGTTCGTGAAGTCCTGGGCTTCTCTCATCGGGCCCCGTTGCCGTAAACTGCAGTTTCAGCGTATGAACGACGACTGGTGCGGATGCGATCAGCGCACTACACGTGAGATAGGGTGTTTTTCGCGTTGGAGAACATCCTAAGAGCATGATGTCACGATGCAGTAGACCGCTGCGCGGTTGCCACGCCCTGCGGGAGCCAACGGGATGGTCTAAGACTCGTAATAGTTTCGGCGGCCCTCTAGAAGGTGCGTGGCAGCGGTGCGGGGACCCTGTCTGCTGGACATCGCGTAGTCATGTTTAGAGCACTGGAATTGCTGATTTCACTAGATTTTCCGCTCGAATCGTACGAAACTGAGGGTAAGACGCTCCTAAGGAAGATCTATGAAATCAGTCTTCTCTCAACGCGGTGACCACACTGCTCGCGGTAAGCAACACGCGGTACAGCCCCGTTGCCCCCCAGTTGGCCCCGAGAGTTTTCGACTCAAACCCCCCCCCCTTTCTCTTAATTTTAAAATTGTATTTGTTCTCTTATTTCCGGTTTTTAGAGTGAGTGTTAATGCGTAGTTATTTGTTGTTGTAATTTTCCGTAAACGTCGTAGATTTGTCCGAAAAAGTTTGACCGATCCGAGGTGTCTCCGGTGGAATTACGTTATGGTGTATGATCAGTTGTTTGCGTAGTTCCTGTGTGTATTTTCATCATTTAATATCAACTGGTGTAATTAAAGGGAGTGGCACCCCAAAACCCGTGCACGTTTTGATTTGGACTACTTCTCCCCATCTCTCATAAAATCAGTGATCAGACGAGCAACGAAAAGATCATCTAAGTCCATGGGACAGGTTTGATAGAACATCTTATTGCATCAGAATATCCTTGATATTAGCGTGTGTTATAGCTCTACCAATTAGTCATCACTGAGGACTTGAGGCCTCTTTTTCTATACCTCAAGTGGTGGAACGCCCCCCATGTTTCTCCTCAGAGGAACATAAGTTCTTGGCTAAACTTTAGGGTAGTTCTGGTCCCTAGAGTTTTGGCCCTTTCAGATCTCAGAAACAGACATGTTTAGTCTCATTCTTGAAAATCGTGAGGGATTCGAACTGGATCAAATCAAGATTAGCGAGTACTATATAGCGCTTTGGCGTTTAAGTCTATTTGAGAATAACTGGACTTTTAAAAGGTATTTTAAGCAGTAAAAATCCGATTTTCTGCCAATCACTTTGCAACAAGATGCATCCAATGCCTGAGTAATACCGAACCACCGAAGACTCAATTTTCAACTTTTTGGCACTTAAGTCTTCGTGAGCATGGGCCGGATTTACCTATGGTGCATCGGTGCAGCTGCACAGGGCACCAGATTTTGAGGGGCGCCAAATTTTGGGTTTTTTTTCCTAACTCTGCAAAAAAATTGAGAATTGCGTCGAAAGTTCAGAACTCTGATTGTTGATTGATTGTATAAAGGCAATGGAGACACACTATCTGACCATCTCGTAAGTTATCAACTAAACAACATTAACAATGTAAATATTGCATGTTATTACTCCATGTGCCTGTGCATGCATATGAAATGCCTATTTTTGTCCCACCAGAATTTTCTTCTGCAAAATTACATCGCAGAGAAACATTAATTTATTGCGTTCCATCTTTTAAATGACCTGAACCTAGACTTTAAGGGTCAGACTTTCTCTTAGTTTCATAGTTAACAGTAACAGGAACAGGTATACCTGGTTTTGGTTTCTGCCCCAGAATCATTCACTCATTCGAAAAATTCGTATTTAGTTTAAGTTAGCACGTAACCAAAGAAGACCGTCGGGTTGGGAAATGCGCGGGCGGGGGGGGGGAGGACGTGCGAGGGGCGCCTCGAAAATGCCTGCACACGGCGCCAAAAACGTAAATCCAGCCCTGTTCGTGAGAATGATCCATTCATTTTTTATTAAAATGAGAGTTAGTAAATTACCTGAGTTTCGTATTCCTTTAGATTTGGTTCTACAAACACAGGGTCATACTTTGGTATATGATACATGCGGGCCATTCGCTCTTTATATGCTTTATACCTGAAACATACAAAATGAAACAAGTGAGAGAAAATTTATTAACATTTATATATGGTTAAAAAAAATTGGCCTCCGGCCAATTTATACGCAGCGCAAGCGCCGACATTTGGGAGAGCTTTGCCCCCCCCATCATGGTGCGAGGATCGCACAAGACTTTCTTGCTAAAGCCAGGCTCCGCGCCGGCATAGACACTTTTACTGGAGTATTTTGAAAAATACTGCCAATTTCACAAAATCTTAAAGTTTGATTAGAATTTTGACAGAAAGATAATAGTTATGAAATTTTTATCCAAATGACTAAACTTTATTGTAAATCTCTTCACGATATGTGATGAATTCATATATTCAGAATCGGCTTATCGATATTATGAGGCATCTTCAATTAAATAATTGATTAATGATGCCTACTAGTAAAGACGGCGATCCTTAAAAATCTTAGCTTTTCTACGATTCATTAGGATCTAGGTATTGGATTCATTGATATAAGCGCTATGATATAAGCGCATTGATATAATAATTTAGATACGATTAGAAATTATAATATTTCTTTAAGAACAGTAAAAAGCTATCAAAAACCTACTTCAATGGGTAGAATCACTATTCGATGTTTAAATAGCCTTAAATAAAACGGGTATTGCCGAGCATCGATCCCAAGTTTCAAAGTTGGCAGTCGAATCTCCCCGCTGGAAATGGTTCACCACCCGCCACCTCCTTATCTCGTATCCCCTTAAGTTGAAACAACAACAACAGAGAAGGCCACCTCCTTAGCTGCTCATATCCCCGTGTTTGAAACAACAACAACAATGAACCAATTGTCTCTGACCGTGATAAACAAATGCGTTTTTGTGTAATCATTAATCGTTAAATCAATCATGTTCGTGCAGTAATATTATATTTGTGTTCAATACCTCGTTAAAAGGAACCGCGAAAGATGGAATCTGCCAGGATTCTAAGTTCATTAACAACAAACATATTAGTTTCTAATAAAGATCTAAGTGTCAGTTCTAGTGTTAGCTTCAATGATTCATAGTATGTAAGTACCTAATTAGTCGTCTAATTTTGCTTGGTGTATACCAACGGAGTAATTTTGGAGATATTATCTGATGCATTATATAATGCATTTGAAATCCTAGGTGTCACCTGACTCAAAACACTTGCTGCTAATACCGAGGAGTCCTCCGGTTCCTTGAGAGCTTTCAGCCCAGAATGGTGACTTGCTATTGGCCCCTCTTTAATTATGAGATAAGTCCATAGATCTTTAAGGAACTTAATTAATGACCCAGATGGTGCTTTGCGCCAACTTTTACCCGATTAAACGCCTTTTTCCAAAATCTACTGCCCTTCCCAGTGAGCTCTACGGGTGATCAAAGTGCCCTCGCTTATAGGAACCTCCATAGAAATTGACGCGTAACCCTTTAAATTTGAGTTTAGTCCAAAGATCTCTTAGGAACTTTAATTAATGACTCAGGTGGTGCTTTTGTGCCAATTTTCAAAGAATTAAAGGCATTTTTTCAAAATCTACAGTCTGTCAAAGTGAGCTCTTCGTGTGATTTCGTGGAACAAAGTGCCCTCATCTTATGACCCATATCACTTCAATTTTGAGTTTAGTCAAAAGATCTTTCAAGAACTTAAATAAATGACCCAGGTGGTGTGCTTGATGCCCATTTTTAAAGAATGAAAGGCATTTTTCAAAATTGAACGAATTACCATTACGAATTTCTGATAAATTGAACCAGAGTTATGATTTTTTGAAAATGGGTCAAATTTGACCTATGACCTATCATAACTCCGTCAAAAATTAAGATATTGATCTGTGGTTTGCACCAAAATTCTTAGTTTTTAATTTGCTTTTCAATGATGCATCACAAGATAGGGGTTACCGTTTGAAAAAAAAAAATTTGGCCCTCCCCCCAGAGGGAGGGGCAAAGATTTAAACACCCCTAGAAGATGGTCCTATTTGAGATTGTACATTCCCAAAGCTTCGTTTTTCTATCTCTAATAATTCAAAAGTTGGAGGGGGGGGGGGCAGGACTTTTGGAACACCCTGCATGTACGCGAAAGTAGTGATACATACCTTGCCCACGAGACACAAATATAGACAATTCCAGCAGAGCCCAAAACAAGGATTAACGCTGCAATTATTATCAGACCGTACGGCAGAACTTCCCACTGAGCTGCGACAACTGCTGCTTTGGGCTGCGCCACAACCAGCGGAGGATGAATTCCTGAGGCAGTTGCAGTTAAATTCCCAGAGACATCAAAGGTTATCTTTGAGACAACTTCAGGTTCGAGAACCGACCTGGAAAAAATAAATTGTAGAATTTGATTCCTCAAACGTGAATTTTTGCTAAGATATGCGGTATAAACTTCAGTATGCTCAACTGTAATAGATCTGTTGACTGAAGATCTACTTTCATGAAATTCCATTGATTTGTTGATTCAGAGGAAAGCTGTGGTTTCAGGAATTTTTTTCATCAGCAGTTTGGCACTGACAAATATTTCCTTACTACAGAAGAAATACATGCCAATTTTGATCAGGGAAACAAGAGCAAGAGAAAAATAAGCACAGCAATGAGGTGGATAGTTTAGAGAAACCTGCCAGCCACCCCCCCCCCTCATAAATTTGAAAATGTGTACTTGCGCTCGGCACAGATTGAAAAGCATCCATTCGAACTTCCTAAAAAATCCTCTTTTGGGAAAATACTTGCCATATGAAAGTTAAGGAGTTTCCTAAAGAAATAGGTCAAAGTTTAAACTAAAATAACTTCAAAAGAAATAAATGAGTGGTCAATTTGTCACAGTTCTCTTAAGAATTACAGCAACTCTTCCATAAAGGATTACAGACAAAATATTTAGAAATTCAAAGCCAGCTAAATTTTGAGATTTTTTGCTGTGATGTTCCTTACAAGCTCCTGAACAAGATGAGCTTTCATAGTCAAACTTTCTACATGCCAATAGAAAAAATCTGATGTAAAAAGTGCTCCCTTTCAGGAGTTTTATATGCATTAACAGGTGAAAAAATGTAGGAAATGAAGGAGCGTGCTCCTCTTTTCTCATATTACGTTAGGCAAGGAGATAAGATGATACGTCAACTCCATGCAACAAAAGGCTCCGCATCTTCAACTCAGCGACAATGCCACTTTTCCGCATGATGTCACATGTTAGATTCCCAAAACTGCACTTTTCAGACCCATTTTTCTCGCGATTGTAACAAAAAAGTTTGATTTTAAAAGCTCATCATACTCAAGAGATCATAAAAAATATCAAACCAAAAAATCTTGAAATTCAGCTGGCGCCAAAAGTCTTGGTATTCCGTAAGGGGTCCTTTCTGATTAGACTTCTAAATTGAACCCTCCTAATGTTTTCATTGATCAATTAATCCAAAAAATTGCCAAGAGAAATTGCCTTGATACACCAAGAGGAAAAATGATTGGTCAAATCAACGACCTACCTCATTAAGCGAGAACTATTTCGTTCAAGTATAGTTTCAGTATCTGGATTTATTGCATAGAACCATAGATCCGAGCCGCCAGGATCAGACATTATTGTCATATTATCAGACCCTAAATTCTGCCGTGGTCCTACTTTTTCCACGCCGATCATCAGGTTTGAATGATCTTCCAGAACATTGATCACATTCTCTTCGGCACCTTTCACTGAGTCTGGACGTGCATCATCAACGACGAGAATCAACTTATGCTTCTCTTCAATTAAGTTAATCTGCAATATAATGAAGAGCTTACTTTCAGGAAAAAACTCAATGCAACAAGCAGATACTTTGTAATTAACCTAAAGTGGGATTATTCCTCCTCATGATTTAAATGAGTGCAACACCAGCTTACCTATACCTAATACACATATCTGATTTTTTATTGCAATAAATCTACATCGAGGGAGAAATTTGGACGTATTTGTGCGAAATGGAACTATGTGGAAGTGGAGAGGTGTGGTGTGCTCAGTGCTCTGGCCATGAGAATGAATGGAAATTTAAAAGCGCCAGTGACGTTAGCGGCAATGACCCACGAGTTAGCGCTCAGTTCCTTTTGATTTAATTGAAAATCCTGCTTTTCCATTTTCTCAAAAGGAACTGTATCCACTTTTACATTGTTTCTTATGCAGCTCACCACGAGCACACCCCATCTTTCTACTTGCACATAGTTTCTTTTAGCATAAATACGTCCATTTGATCACTTAATAAACAAGTTTTATCTTCTTGAGGGGAGTGGAGAGAGAGTTAGGAAAATTGGCAACAAAATACACAGCTGACAAACTGCTTGATTACGTACACCCTCAGGATCTAGGAATATACAGATATCTTGTGAATATTTTCCTTGGTAAAAACGACGGACACCCTGCGGACACTGAGCATTTGTTTTTGGAATGCCCGTGCGCTCACTCCTGCGTGTCCCCGCACCTACTCCTGCATGTCCCCACGCTCACCCAAGAAGCCGTATCCAGCCAAAAAGTTGCAAAAAACTTGAAACTAAGGAGCTGGACTCTTTCCTTTAGACAACTTCATTCAGATACCTAAAAGACATGACTCTTTCCTTCAGACAACTAAGGGACTCTTAATAGCCATTACAAAAATTTCCGCGCCGCCGTCGTTCTCAAACGATATCCCATCTAAGTGCTGACTACACCCGACGTTGCTTTTCCCCAATGATCGCCCGAGTGCCGCTGCCATGGAGATTCGGGGATTCGCGTGTTACACAAGGGTAATTTAGCATTCATAAACATTCCCAGGGCTGAGTCCATGATTGAAAGCAATAATATTCTTGGGAGTTTCTACATTACGTATGCGGTTTAAAAAAACATAAATAATAAAAAAGTACATCAATTTTTAGAAAGAAAGTAGTGAATACCTAACACATGAATCAAATAAAACAAAATTATAGTTATTAAAATGAAGAAAAATAAATAAATGAAATGAAATAAAATAAAATAAGTACATGAAATGAAATAAAATAAAATAAATAAATGAAATAAAATAAAATAAATAAATGAAATAAAATAAAATAAATAAATGAAATAAAATAAAATAAATAAATGAAATAAAATAAAATAAATAAATGAAATAAAATAAAATAAAAAGAAATAAAAGTAAAATGAAGAATGAATAAATATACAATATAAATTAATATATTACATTTAATTTAGGTATTTATTTAAATATATATTTTTTGTTAATTTTTTATTTCAATTGTATTCATTTATTTTAATATATTTTACTTTACTTGCTTCATTTTATTTGATTTATTTATTTGTTTATATTGATTTATTTAATTTCATTTGTGGGGAACGAATCCCGCCTCTATGGTCCCTATGTATCAGAAATGCCCTCAGTCTTGTCGCGATACCGCAATGCGTAGCGTAGACTGAGGTATTTCTGATAGGGACGGAGAAAAAGGCCTTTTTGGCTGCGAGAGGTGATGAAAGGAAAAACAAAGATTTTCCTTCTGACGAATTGGACAGGTCACACCCTTGAGAGGAGAGAAAAACGGGGCGAAAGCGCAGGCAATGCCACAGCTCCCTTCGGCACGAATTTCCAAAAAAACTCTGTCCGAACTCTCTCGACCCCGCGATGCGGCGTCCGCCGATCGCGAATCCTCGCTAGTTCGCGCATGCGCTGTTCGAGGTGTGTATCAGCGAAAAAAGACAGAGAGTAGCATTGTCGAATATCCTCCTAAAATCGAAAGATTTTATGGCGAATATTCGGAAACGAATACTTCTCCGACACATTTCATTTATTTAATTTAATCTGTTTTATTTTACTAATTTATAATGTATTAATACTATATGAGATTTATTAGGCCGTAGAGCATCTTATCACACCTATTGAGTTTCAACTTGATTTTCATTTATTAAATTTATTTATGTTAAAATAATTAGAGAAAATAAAATATATTAAAATATAGAATAAGACAAATAAAAGAAAATATATTAAAAAATAAATAAATTGAATAAACAAGCTGTAGAAACTTTTCTGCAAATAATACATAGAAACATTTATTTAAATTTGAGAACAAAAAGCATCATAACGAAACAAAAAAACAAAATTCCTGACACACTTTGATTTATTTTGAAGACTGTGAGATTTCTTCCAACATCCTTGATTTTTTTTTCTCAGTCTGCAGAAATTCCTCAAACATTTAAAGGAATGATGGATTGGTTATCTCTCAATTTCTAAAAAGTAAAATATCAGTATGTCTGCAATTTCACTGTTGATAAGGTGTCTGCACGCCCATCTTAGGTGTTCGTACGCCCATCACAGGTACACACCGGCTACATGGGTGATCGTACCAGCGGCGTGGCGTGGCGTGGCGTGATGTGCAATAAATCGATTGATCTGCCATTTAAACCTATGGAAAAAGATCGATAAACAGGGTGTTTGCAACGAACACCTTAATAATCGATTCATTACCACATCTTCAAATGGAAAAATATCGATAATCGATCATTCACGTTATCTTTCATCGTTTTTATCGATTTCATCATTTCATCGATATCTTTCAACACAAGAATGATATAACTACTCAAAAATCGAAAAATCCTAAAAAGGCGGAAATACATGCATACATATATACATACAAAAAAGGAGGTATACGGAGTCTCTGCCTGATGATGGTGGGAATAAGCCACCGAAACGTCGCATTGTAAAAAATTTTTTTTAAAATAAATAAAAAGTTACGGTTATACAACTCATGAATTTCACTTAATTAACCATATATACATACATATATATATATATATACACATGAATTTGAATGGCATATAACCATCAAACACATACTTATGGACTGCTCTTCCCTCCGACATCTCCAATCACAGATCTACTCCCCTTCATTCAACAGAAATACAAACCCTCTTACATGCGATGAACCTAATATTGCCACCAAAATTCTGAAACTCTTTACCTCTCTTAATTTAAAAATCTAAATTTTCGTTTATACTCCTATATATTTTCAAAATTACCTGTAAAGACGTTAATAGCCTGAGTCGCTGAATGTCTCAAAATTATAATAACTAACTAACTAACTAACTATTTTCGTGATCTACGACCCGTGATTGGTGCTCTCTACAAGGTCTTGGGTCTGGGTCCGACATCATGGGAGAATGCAATAGTGTATTTTCTTCGGAAAATACACTAATATTGTTTCTCAAATTCTAATTTCTAAAGCTTGAGTCTTTTTTGGGAATGAGTTCATTCAGTATTGGCACTAGAGGGAAAAATTTGTAAATAAATTAAGTGAAAAGGAGCTACATACATGAAATTTGCATGTTTCATAGATGCTTTTATTACACTGATTTGAATATACATATATGCAGTTCCTTTGAGCACAAATACATCAAGGTATGTTGCTAATAAACATTTATAATCTTGCTTTCATTAACATAATTGAAATCAACAAAAGATAATGATAGTAAAACTGCTTACCACGACTTGTGTGCGAGCTCTGTTAAAGTCTTGTGAGTCGGCGCCAGGATTGTCCTTGGCTTCAACAATAAGTCTGAATGGCAAAGCTCCCTTATCGATTTTCTCAAAGGTGCCTATATTAGTAATTAGGCCTGATGATTCATCAATGCTGAAATATTTTCCAACTCCAGATTCATCGAATACAAAACTGTAAGTGACCTGACCAAATTTTCCACTGTCTTTGTCAGTTGCCTAGAAATCATCATTATACATATTGGTAAACCATACTTACAAGCAGACAACAGAGATGAAGACAATTTTTAAAGTCCTTTGTGTATCTTAGAAGAGTAAGGACAATCAGAATATTACTATACTAGCTGTTTGGGGCGCACTGTGCACGCCCTTACAGCTACGTAGGGGGCTCCTTCTATTTTATACATCATTGCTTGAATTGATGAAAAGAAAGTGCCAGCATATTGGCAGGTGATAGAAAATCATATTGATGATTCGCCAACAAGACTCTGACATTATTCAACCAGAAATGGTTGCTGAGCTAAGAAAAATAACATTGTTAATACAACTTTAAAGATTTGGACTCTTTCAATGTTCTTGGCTCTTTAAATAAGCACGGAATTTTTTGTGTTTTTGGAACTCCCGCAAATAGTGGAATAATTGCTTGATCATAACCTATCTTGAGAGTTGACTCGAATCGGGTTCACAAGACTCTGTTTAAACTTGAGTACTTGCCTAACACTTTAAAAAACTCAACTCTCACAGTCTGCATGCTGTGCTCTTGCCATCATCTCCAGCATTTCAACTTGTCATTATTGTCGCTGGGCCTTGAGATCAAAAGTGACAAAAATTATTGCGGTTGCAATATGAAAACATACACTCAAACTAATGAGTAGGTACCTTCTGCAATATAATGTGATTTAGTGAAATGAAAATGAGTTGTTAAACAACTTAGAGGGGAGGATAAAAATGGTTTGCAACAAAAATAGGAAAGGCTTACCTTTATCTGTAGTACAGGTAGTCCAACTTCTTTCACATCTCGAGAAATGGCACCAAAGTACGCTTTTTTATGGAAACGTCTGCTTGTACTCGGATACACAAACTCAGGTATATTGTCGTTGATATCTGTTACTTGAACTTTCACCTGGAAAATAAATTAAAAATATAGAAAGGAACAAGTTATTACTACCAAGAGCTTCCAAAGGATTCTGAACATAAAAATTGAAGTGTTTATTATCACCGACAAAAAATACCATCTATACTTAGAATGTAAGTAATACATTCGAAATTAGAATGATTTTAGAGAAGAGAAAGAAAGCTTTTGAAGTGGAAGCTGCTAAAATACTTCAGTAAAGAAGAAACTCCTTGGTCAGGTCTCTAGATATTTTCAGCTTGGTTTATTTCACTTGCACACTTTTATTCAACATTGAGACATTCACCGTTTAGAGAAATTTTAAGAAGTATTACAAGCTAGTCACAATAAAGTAGTACAAGGATGTGTCAGTGTGTCACCTTAATTTACAAGTTTCAAATTGAAAGAAGACTCAGTACAGAAACAAACATACTTTACTTCCCCCGACATTTATGCAGTTTTGATTTGTGAAGAAGAATTTGATTTTAACTATTGAAGGCGGAGGAGGAAAATAATTCAGATTTTTTATTAACTTATTTGCCCCAGAAGTTATGGAGATTTCAAATACAACAAGAGTAATGATAAAGCCAGTCAGGTACTATTAAAAATAAGACAGGAAGCGCACACCTTTGTTTCACTATGAGATGGAGCAATATAGCCAGACAAAGAATCCAATCGTATGGAGAGTTGATATTCATTCCTCAATTCATGATCCAATTTACCTTCATTGAGATGAAGTTCACAATTACGATCTTCAGTTACTTGCACATAGAAAAGATCTGAAACAGAATGAAAGAAAGATAACTTTCAGAATTAATAACATCCAGCACTCAGAGGAGCCTTCGTCATCTTTAGGGAGCGCATTCCCAGGGTAGCAGTTACGGATAAGCCCATGAAAAATGATGGATAGGTGTCTTGCTACCTGCTAATCAAACGGACGAAGCTCTCGGAACTGTGATGGAAGCAGTTGGTCCAGGAAAAAGGACTCTAAAATCCAATGCTGGTCAGTTGGTCCTCCAGGTTGATAGGGGTTTGAGTCATTGGGTTGACTCCCTGATACTCAAAAGAAAATTATTCCTTTACAAACCCAAAAATTGAAATGTGAATTGTGAATGGTTATTTGATAGCTGCGATGGTTTTTTCTCTGTTTTTTGAAGCATTTTATGATTTTCATACTTTGTCTTCTATATCCAAGGTCCAATATTCTTTTTCCACCCATAAACTGCCCCCCTTCCCCTCTAAATCTCCCCCTCCTCTCCCCAGTCCCCTTAGATCTAGGAGCCTCTCATCATGCATAAGAATAAGAATAATCAGTAAATAATAAAACTGATATTCTTGACCTTCAGTACTTTAATTTATGTTTTGTTTTTCCTAAAATTTGTCCTACTATTGTGTATTATCCTTGCATATGTTGTCCTACAACTGCAATTATTACGTTTCATCTAGTTTAACTTTATGCCGATCTCCGAGCCTTTGCGAGTTAATTTTAGGTGTTTCTTCTGATACCGTAAATATGTAAAAGCGTTACCTTTTAGTTGTAAGAAAATAACGCATGGTGCTTTGACAGTACTTAGACAGTATATTACCTCCATTACCACTTCTCAGCTACAACAATTACAGCAAACCACAGGAAAACCATAAAAAACTTCACAAGAAATTTTGCTTTGCGTTTATCTCATAATTCACTGTTAGTAATGTCCAAAATTTGCTACAACTTGTCGAAAAATTTGAAATAATGTAGAAGTATTCCATTAATAACAACAATACATAACGCCTATGAACGCCAACGTAGAGGACGCCCTGATGGATTGAAGGAATAAGCTGGAAATGAGGAGATGCACTCTGCCGGAGGAGCTCTGGCAAGATCACTGTCAGTGGCGGTTGGGTGTCGCAGAGCGCACGGAAGCCCTATAAGAGCGACTCATTAGTAGTGGTAGTATAACAATACATTTTAAACTTTTATTTTCTTCTCACGAAATTAAAAAATAAACCTTCTAAGTACAAAACTTTGAAAAAAACACATCGGAAAGCGCTAATTTTTTTGGCTACCGGAAGGAGGGGGAGGGGGTAGGGGCGGGTAAGGTTGCCCCCTCCCTCTCAAATTCAAGTATACTTGTAGAGGTAATAATGTTTCTTCAATGTAACTTCCTCAAAATCTCAAAAAAGATATAAAAATGTGTTCATGATGAGAGGCTCTTAGATCTAAGGGGACTGGGGAGAGGAGGGGGAGATTTAGAGGGGAAGGGGGGAAGTTTATGGCTGGAAAGAGAATATTGGACCTTGGATATAGAAGACAAAGTATGAAAATCATAAAATTCTTCAAATAACAGAGAAAAAACCATCGCAGCTATCAAATAACCATATATTCTCAATACGGGCCTTGCAGGCCCGGGTTAGGCATTCGTGTAGGTAAAAATGATTAGTCATCTAAGGGTTAATCTTAGAAACTATCTTCTTTCAAATCCATTTAATGAATCAAGTGAATTCTGTCCCACAAATTAAAAATTTGACATTTCTCCTTGTGAACACTGACTTGTGTGATAGCCATTATGTTGGCTCCTATGTGCCAATTGTAAATAAAAAAATAAATAAATAAATAAATAAATAAAGGACTGTTAATAACCAATGAGTCTGGAATTAAGTCCTTGAATCAGAAACCAACGCCTTCCAAGTTTCTCATTTTTGAGAGCTGCGGCGGAAGTACAGATTAAATCCTGGGAGCTGCAAACTCTCTTGCCACCTGCATAGGTGAGCATTCATGCGCCAGCAAGTTTTTAGAACAGCCATGATTTGTTCATGATTTGACATTACACCAGTGCGGTGAGTCCGATCACTCTGGATTAACAAAAATAATAGCCTGAGTACTGATCGGACTAAACTGCATACCCAATAAAATTTATGGGAACGGACCCATCTGTTTAGAAATTTGAATGTGCATTAGAGAATCTCAAAGGAGGACAAGTGAAAAATGTTTAACTTTTCTGAAATTATCATGCTCAATATGGTATTGATATATGGCCTTTGACAAGGTGAGCTTGATAAATTTCGTGTGTTAGAGAAAAATCTGGAGGTCTGCCATTATCTCAAAAAAAGCCAAGACCATAATGAGAGGATTCGGGAGAAAATGAAGTAAATGCTTTGTACTTGAGTAAGTTGATGTTTTCTATCTAGAGAATGTTGAAATGAAAAACACTGAAATTGAAGAAAAATAAGTGTAATATTGAAGGCAGCAGATAGAGCTATCCGTCACCTCCAGAAGGTTTATGCGGTCATCTGCGATGCGGATTAGCACATTCACTGCCAAGTTAGACAAGATGATTATTTTTTGTTGGTCACGGTGATCGACGTATTGAATAGTATGTTCTCAACACACCGCTGTGTGATGCAGGTTCTATCTACATATATGAGTCCTCCAAGGAATCAGTTGTAGATTACTGATTACGTATTGAACTGATAGACAATGCAAGCATCCTAGCAATCAGCAGAAACTGCGGTTCCAAGCGTTTGACTTCTCCTCTTTTATTGTGTGTTTTTCAAGTCTGGCAGGAACTATTTCACAAAAATAAATTGCAGTGAACGAATTCAGGGCTGTGCATTTTCGTAGACACTCCTCAGATGGTCAATGTCACTTTCCATTGAAAAAAACCATTCAAGACATTCGATATTTTTGACCAAGACTTGGTTTTTTCAACCTGCTCGCCCCCCCCCCTTCCCCGAGAATTTGGTTTGCCAAAATGAAAGTCCCTTTTCCTGTACATTACAATTTAACAAAATCTAGAGTTCAGAACTTTGAGACTTTTAAAAGATCAGAACTTTTTGAGAGCGATTTTTCATACATTGCATTCTCTTTTTACAAAATAAAAAAATGAAGCAGACCTTTCCAATACTTCCAAACGAATTTGTAAGAAGTCTCACAATTTCCTCAAATCAATATACAATTAAAAGAGGATGTTTTCGACACTGGTTAAAAGTGGACAAAGGAAATCTTATTTCATTTAGATGAAAGTAAATTGATAAATGGTTTAAGCAAGTCACCTGAATAATTTTTGGATGCCAAAGTGCATTCCAGAGGTATCGGGGCATTTTGATTACGACTATTGATGATAGTAAGAGTTTTAATGAGCGTTTTTGGAGGACTATTCTCAGGAATTTGAACTGTGTAGAAATCATCAGAGAAACCTAAACCAGTCTCAGGAGGAACAGTGGTTGCATGGCGGATAAACACCGGAACAGAGGTGATGGTCGACAATTGTGGCTCTCCTAAATCGTATGCTTTTACATCGACCTGGAAAAATGCATAAATAGTCAGTAAGTGAGACAAACTAAAAGAGAGAGTGATAATGATCCATTTTAAGTCAATCATTGGATACATATTAGGGCTAGGCGAATGGTGAATTTTCCGAACGAAGTGCATAGCGAATAATTTCGGCAAATATTCGCGAATAGCGAATAATTTAAGTCAATTATTCAGAGCTACGAATAGTAAAACGAATAATTTGAAATGACTATTTTAAGTGTAAAAATTCGCAAATATTACAAAATTTGACAAAAAAAATTGTGATTAATTTTTTTAAGAATTTTCCATTTGCTCATACACCTGCACAGAAAACAATGAAATGCTAGATAATTAATTGAATAATTGATTATCAATAATTGATTTCACATAGATATTATCTCACACCCTCTTTCCGTCTTGGTTATTTACTTAACTTTCAATGTGTGGTACTCTTTGAGCAACCAAGATACGCGGGCCAATCGCAATCGCGCTCGCTGCTCATAAACTCGGCAAAGTCGGTAAAGATCAAAGGAGATCCGCCGTTCGCGATGTCTCAGATGGAAGGGGAAGCCTTGAGCAGGTCCTCGCAACGTTTTACAGTTGCCACTTGGAAATTCGTTAATTTTGATGCCGCAAATATTTGAAAATTCGTTCCTTGTGACAGCGCAAATATTTGAAAATGTCAGTTCAAAAATTCACTATTCGCGACGGCGCGATTACTCGCAATTTGCGGATAGTGCGCGAGGCAGACGAAGCGAAATTTCGAATATTCGCGGCGCGAATAGTCGGAATTGCGAATATTCACACAGCCCTAATATTTGACCATAAAACTCAGGGTCAAAGACTCAAAGTTGAGAAGTGCAACATTTCCATTGACCAGATAAGTTGTTTACCATACATTACCATGGTAACGTTGATAAATAACCTAAAAAGACAGGTGGAAATTCTGTGACATAAGTTTGGAATGAGATAAGTGCTTCAAATATTTTAAGGAGGCTCATTTAAAATGGTGAGACGAATTTCAAAGTCAGACAGCTTCACAGAGCCTGAGGAATGATGAGCAAGCATAGATAGTTCATTCTGCTCTGCTGAGACTGGAATCCTTTTCATTGACCAAGACAAAAATCGCTCGTGAGTGTTGAATCCTTGGAAGCAGTCAACCTGATCATACTCAATTCAACTTTGGAATGATGTGGCTGAGTGAGGATTGTACAGGAAATCATTATGCGTAATGATATTTTGTGGAAAACAGCATAGTGTTGCGAAAAGAACTTTTTCAGACCTACAGCAGAAACTTTATGGTATTTATACCTTTGCAACTCTTTTCATCAAAAGCCCTCACCAAGAAATGACTCTTCTCCAATGAATTAATCTGATGATGACAATACGTGAAGAACAACTAAATCCATTTCTACAATTTCATTTAAGGAGAATATTTGGAAACTGTAAAATCATAATCCCGAAAACTTTGAAAGATTAGATTCAGCCACGATTAGAGAAAAAAGGACCTACCTGTCTGAATTTTAAGAGCTGAAAAACAACAGAACGAAGAGAGAAAAAAGAATCATACATCTTCTAACTTGTGTGTGTTTTTTTTTTTGGTTTTTCCCCCAGTGAGGTAAATAATCGTGGATTTCTATTATGCCAAAAGCCACTGAGAAAATTGATTTTAGCTCTCTGGAAACTGAGCTAAGCAAGGCAATTCAAAATGACATAAGATACTGGCAAAAGAATGATGCTAAAATTCGTGCGGTAAACCAAAGAGTTGCAACATATGATGACTTTAAAGAGATAGTGAATGCAGCTCATCTAAAGCCTCTGGATAAGAGAGAGAGTCAAGTTATTAAGCAAGAATCTATGCAGCACAACACTTGCATCTGGAACACAGTTTCTTCGGCACAGAAGATACCAGAGCTATCAAGAGAAGTAAAACAAACTCCATGAATGCTGCGCCTCTGCTAACAGTTACGATATCACTGAGCAAAGGAATCATTCTGCTCATTTTTCTCCCATGCGAGGCAGACTTGAATGTTTCTATTCAATAACTGAATCTACTGCAAACACATATATGTAATGGGTCTGTTGCACCTATTTTTTTAATTCATTTTCTAATAAAGTGCATCATTCTGAGCTTCATGAATTATTCCCAGAATTTTTGGAAGTCCCAAACACCCCAAAAAAGCTCCTAAAAGTTCAAAAAATTTTGGCGGGAAAATTTAAAACTACAAATGACGGGAGAGTGAAGCCATTTTGTGACGTCACAACCAATACCCCACGTTTGTTTATTTTACAAATACATGAGTTTCCCCATAAGGAATCAAGAGGCAAATTTTCAAAAGGAATTATCAGACTGTTGGAGGCCGTATTCATCAAATTTTCTTGCGATAATAGACTCTTTATACTTTCTAGTTGATAAAAACATCCCTAGTAACTTACAAATCGCATCAGATGATTTAATTATTTCCGATGTATCAAAGAATGTCACGAAAGTGAGGTTATGTTTACAATCTTATCTGGGATACATATAAGTCCTATTTTCATGGTAAAACTCTCATAAAATGTAGTTTTAGGTTCCTTATTCCTAGAAACTATCTGCCATGGCATGATGCAGCTTTCTGAATCTAATTCGGATTTTTTCGGATATTGGATCCTTAGATACTACTTTTTTGCATAAAATGTGTCTCGCTCAGCTGCGCTAGCTGAGGGATCAACGTACTCATTTGAACATATTCACTTGTTTAAATCTGTCTGCTCATAAGTAAATAAGTTGAAAATACCATCAATTTTACATAAGGTAAGATTCTTCCGGCTTCGATTTGTGGCATTGGTCAATTTACTTGATTGCTGAATTTCTATTAATATTTACAGCAGATAAACAGCAGATACAAAGTGAGAAGGCAGGCGCTGCGTCGCGTCGGGACAGACCAAATATTATTAAATCCTAACGGTCGAAATCCAATTTTTTTTTTTTTTTTTTTTTTTTAAATTAAGTATTTAAAAATAACATAATAAATGGAAATTTCTCCAGTAAGTGGACTGTCAAATTATGTACATCCAGCTATTCCTCATCATTTAAAAATCTGAGTATTACGTCAAAAATTTTGAAATCGATGCAGCTCGAACACAAAATGGTGTATCAAAATGGAAGAACATTTTTGCCTGTACATGTATACGTATAGGGCCCGCGAAGCGGGCCTGAGGGCGCGAGGCGCCCTCCCGGGGGTTAGGCCGCGTAGCGGTCAGGGGGCAGGGCCCCCTAGTATCCAATACATGTGTTGATGTATTTGAGCAAACGGCATTAACTTGACCAGCGAAACCCCCTAAAGGGAGACATAACCACACTTTCGGGACTTCCTTACATATATTAAACTTTAATATGATGCGATTTTAACACATTCGTTGATAAAGTTGTAAAGTAGAGGATGTGAAGAACTGATATCTGCAAGAAAATGTGGTAAAATAAGTTAAATATTGACCGAAATTCGTTTTAGAAAAACGAATTTGGATTCCTTATGGGGAAACACAGGTGCGTCGAAACGGCGGGAAATAAGATTGCTGGTTGTGATGTAGACGACCAATGAGAGGCCTCCGTTGGAACTTCAAACTTTATTTAACTTTTGCAGCATTAATATCAAACTAAGAGTGTTTTTAACCACACCAACCGTTTTCTGGTGAAAATTTACCTATGAATGGCTCCTTACACTCCAAATCCCTCCCGAGTGCAACAGACCCATTGCCTTGTCAAAGGTTTTTCATGTGAATTTTTCCTGAATGTGCAAGAGAATTTTAAAGTTCCTTACCTGAAATTGTGATTCTTTCTCCTTGCGTAAATCGTCTTTAACTTCAAGAATGCCCAAATCTGGATCAATGTGGAAATACTTGAGAGCTTTTCCTCGGCCCACTAATTCATAGCGCACCTGATAAATAAGGTTAGATTATATTACTATCCAGAAAAGAAAAAAAAAGGCTGTAGGCTCAGTCCTCTTAATACTTTCGAATGACACAATAAAGAAATGACTTAACTAACCCACTATGAATTTGGAGGGTAAGAGTGCTTTTCATAGAATAATGATGCGCATGAATGTCCCTCACTTTACATGGTCAACTAGTAATTTTGCAATCTAAAATTATTTAAATTTTTATTTTGACTGGAAAGTATCTAAACTTACTCTGAGAAGTTCCAAAAATTATAATTAGAGTCAAAACTAAATTTTTTTAACTCTAATGCGTACCAGTTCGAAACTGAGGGGACAGAGTGATCAGCTCAGGCAGTTTGCATTGGAATATTAATTTGGAATCACGCTTAGAGATCTATACCGGTTTAGGCCTTTCTAGACCTCATCAGCAGATCACAATCGGCAGTGAACCCAGCTTAACATGCCACAAAATCCAAGACAGCACCATTTCTCCACCTTGTTACATACAGTTTAGGCCACTTCTTACAAGGGGAGCTTTCCAAGTGTAACCGGAATTTCGAGTTGAAATTTCGCATGAAGATACTAGAGATGATTTTAGGGATGCCGTATTTTTTCGTTTTTTCGAATGGGGTCGGGAAAGCCCTCAAAAAAAGGGCTAAAGATGCGGAAAAAACGCGTGCGCTAGCGGCACAAGGTAAACATAGGTGATAGAGGCTCTCCATCCTTATCAGTTCCGCATGGCCAAACGGTAGCGTGCTCGCCTCGCAGGCGGGAGGTCGTCGGTTCGGATCCTGACTACAGCCCGTAATTTTATTTTACTTTATACTTGTTTATTTTTCACTTACTTTATTTTGCACCATTCTCTCCGCAAACCGACTTACGAGGTAGAACACGTAGTGACTGAAGATTTTTACATACCTATGCTGATAAAAACTTGAAGTTTCTCTTGGATTGAAACGTTATATATAATTGAATAAACAAAACACTCTAAAACTCACCAAATTTCGTTGCCAAACTGAATTTCCGAAGTATCAGTCAGATACAGATACAGATTCGACTGATACTTCGAAAATTCAGCTTGGCAACGAAATTTGGTGAGTTTTAGAGTGTTTTGTTTATTCAATTATATATAACGTTTCAATCCAAGAGAAACTTCAAGTTTTTATCAGCATAGGTATGTAAAAATCTTCAGTCACTACGTGTTCTACCTCGTAAGTCGGTTTGCGGAGAGAATGGTGCAAAATAAAGTAAGTGAAAAATAAACAAGCATAAAGTAAAATAAAATTACGGGCTGTAGTCAGGATCCGAACCTACGCCCTCCCGCCTGCGAGGCGAGCACGCTACCGTTTGGCCATGCGGAACTGATAAGGATGGAGAGCCTCTATCACCTATGTTTACCTTGTGCCGCTAGCGCACGCGTTTTTTCCGCATCTTTAGCCCTTTTTTTGAGGGCTTTCCCGACCCCATTCGAAAAAACGAAAAAATACGGCATCCCTAAAATCATCTCTAGTATCCTCATGCGAAATTTCAACTCGAAATTCCGGTTACACTTGGGAAGCTCCCCTTGTTAGTGTTTTTTTTTTCACTTACTCTGAGACTAAGATATTTTCCATGTAGGATTGTAAAACTTACGCTTCTTACTTGAAAAAAATAAAATATTTGTAAAATAAATAGATAGATAAATAAATAAACAAACAAACAAATAAATAAAAAAATGACCTACTTAATGGAAAAGACTTAAAAGAAAGCATTCACAGATTTCAAAAGTATGAGCCTGAATAATTTAGGGATATAGAGAATTACTTACATTCTTTGGAAAAAATGAAAGACTTGAATAGATAAAACCCAATAATTAACATGCATACTAACACTAACTCATATACTTACTTTATTCCCAGGAGCCGTGGCATCTGAGTCTGTTGCCTGAAGACTTCCAACTTTCGTTCCAATTTCAACATTATCATCTAGATTTATAGTTGGCGAAGCATTCAAGAACACAGGAGGTATGTCATTACGGTCCTGAAACAAGAAGTTCCAAACTAAATTGAAGCATAAACTTAAACACAAAACATTATAAGTAAATTGGATCTCCAAAAAAAAAAAAACATTTGGTAAGAAAATATTTCCAGCCGGTTGATTGCAAAATCGGACTGTTGTGTTTTGTTTCATTAATGTCCTTAAAAATTAAAAAATAAGTACCTAGACATGTCTTGTTTTGTTCTTAATATAATCAAATTTTGGTAAATAAAATTATTTCCTAAGGCATCGAAAATCCAAACTCTTTTTAAAAGGAAAAATATTGCGCCAATAGATTTTGTGATGCCAGTTGAAGAGGCGGCCAACTCAGCTGATTTCGCCTTCGCTCTCAATGTTTGAGAATATTCTGCATTTTGACATGATGCTGTCAACCTGCAAACTAGTATTAATAGTCGACAGCTTTTTGTCCTCACTTCCACATTCTCCTCCGTAATAGATTATCGATACAGTTCAAATGATAATTACAAAAATGAAATATTTGACCCAATATTTTAATAAATATGTGTAAGTACAGCGACCATTTAGCTATGTTGCTGACGTATCAGAACCCCAGAGCCATAAGGTACCTAACTCACATTATTGAATAAACCGAGTTATTTGTGTCGTTTTGAAAATCTCTAAAAACGATTCTGTTTGTGAGGGTAAGGGTGTGTGAGGGTGTGTGTGTGTGTGGAAAGAGTAGCCCTATCTCATGCCAGTTGTGAGATACAGAGTTTCAAAAAGTTCTATTTTCATAAGAATCGACTGGACCATCATGCAGTTTTCCCCAGAGACCTCAGACTGACTTAAATAAACTTTGGTACCTTTTGAGTCTGGGGTACTGATATGATCCGTAGTGGTTGAAACTATAGGTTAGGGTTTTCTTTGACACCACAAGCAATAAGCCAGTTCTGTGCTCAAGTCTCCAACTATCACTCATATTTCCTTCTTTTTTGGAAGCTTTAGGAGCTTTTTTGAGCAAAGAAATGTGTTCTTTGAATTTTACTGACCAGAAATCTGGTATTTAAGCAAAATAAGGCAGCTGCTGGAATATCCCATACACAAAAACTTTTTTTAAGAAAAATACATTTAAAGTTTGATTTTGGCGATAAGTCTTTCCGTTTTTGAGGAAATAAATGAGTTTTCTTGCGTTCTCACAGTTAGAACCCTCATTGCAGAAGAAATGCATAAAATTTATGAATTACTTGTATTTTAATAAAAAACGATTTTTGCAAATGAGCTGTTTTTGCAGCCACTTCCTCAATTTCAGTATGATGCAACCGCATATTATGCTACTTAAAAAAAGAGCCCCAGCAAAATTGACAGAAACAATCAAACTGATGCGAACTGGAGTTTGAGCTTCAAAGCATCATTACATGCACGTAAACCTATGTTCTCCCATTTTGGGAGCCAATATTGAAAGGATTCGAACCATCATAGCTTTGTGCACAAAACTTCTTTCCTCAATGTGGGCCCACAGAATTATTTATTACATAGAAATAGAGAGACCAGTTGCCACACCGGCTAGCAAAAGGTCATTATGCTAAGCCAAAAACTGGTCTTAGGCCTACAAAATCATTTATAAAAATTTTAAAAGCAGCAATTTGGTGTTTTCTTACCTCAACATTAACAATGACACGTGTTGTAGCTCCAGGCGTGTTTCCTGAATTTTCCATAGTTCCTACAATCAAAATATGTTGATTTTCTCTTTCGTAGTCTAAGCCTCTGGTTGTTCTAATTATGCCAGTTTTTGGATCAATGGAGAAAAATTCAGTTGGACCTTGCTTAATCACATACGTCACTCTTTTCTTTGTATCAGCATCATCAGCCTGGTAACACATTTAAATTTCCAGTCAATTTATGAAAGCTGTACTTGAGGGAAAATCTTAGGTCTAGGAATTTATTTCCGTAATAGGTTTTAACTATTTTCTACTTCAAGGGAGACTATAAAGTCAGCTTCTTCATCCTAGTGAAAAACAGCAACTCAGCATATTAATTATGAAAAGTAATTTCCACTATTTTAATTGCTATGAATTACACTTAAATAGAATAGTCTCTACATTGAATACCTTTCAAAAAAAAATGTCAAACACACTGACTTTATTTAATATCAAGCAAACTTTTCTACATAAATTTTACACACAGCAAAAAGCTCTTCTTGTCTACATTCAACACAAGATAGGCATTAGACCACTGGAGCGGGCAAAGCATTAAAGCATCCCAAGACGAATTACCTTTCTGCAAGAAATTTTGTCAAAAGAGAAAAAGAAAACTGTATAAACAGCACCATCCGCCATTCTTAGGGATAATACATTTTTAGAATCCGCAAACCATCAAGAGTTTTGCAACCAAGTTTCAGACTTCTAGCAAAATTTTCCTTTGAGATACAAAAAAAACCTGTGTTATATCTAAATAAAGCGGATGTCAGATTCCGCTGTTCTGCAAAATAATTTGCTGAGGCTCATTAATCTCCCTGTGGATCATGTATGATTGGCACATTGTAATAATAATAAGTGAATAAGACCTCCTGCATGTGGATCTTCCGGAGATGGCACCCTCTTCGATTATATTTCTTTTTCAAGGACTGGTAATACAAATTGTTCCTTATTTTTTACTTAAAAGTTACCAACTATTTTTTTTCGAAAAATCATTACAAAATCCAACAATAATTATATGTTGATACATGTCAATTGCTCTTCTTTTCTTACATTAGCTTAGCAGAATATTTCATGCCTAAAAAAAAATGAGATTTTTTTTTTTTTTTTTTTTTTTTTTTTTTTTTTTTTTTTTTTTTTTTTTTTTTTTTTTTAATCGCTGTACCTCAATTGACACTTGCTTCAAATTTTAAGATGTAAAGCTAACTTTTAGAAAGGGACTTGCTCTAAAGTGAATTCTTGACAAAATCCTTTTTGCTGTACAGACACTGAAATGCACAATTTGAAAACTCAGATCGCGATTTTCTCGAAGCTTAAAACCTTGACATCCGCTGTAAATACATATGGTGCTCCATATAATGCTGGCCCATGTGAGCCTGGTGTTTTTTGTTGCTTCGTTTTATTTTTTGAGGGGGGCGGGGGGGGGGTGTCAAAATTTTGCCCTCACCTATTTGGCTGTTCGGAAAGCAAAAGAAATTGTTGTAAACAATTAAGGACTGCGAGAGCCTAGTTTGTTTTTAATTAAGTCAAGTTCTAGTTATTTTCACGTTTTGGAGTAGAGGTTTTCTATGCTGTAGAAATGATCATTCTTCAGTCGCCTCTCGAGTTAAATTCGAGTAATTCCGAGTGTAAATACGCAAAATTACTTTCAATGCCAGAAAATGTTTTTACTCATTTTCCTTACATAGCGCTTTTGCTTTTTGACTGTTTTTCCACTGAATTTTTCTGTACTCATTGAACAATTAATCGGAGAGCTTCCTATGAAAATGTAGATCTTAATAATGAAAACATACAGGAAAAAATCCATCAATGAGAGCAATTGGAAGAGCGCGCCTTCAGAAGAAATATGTAGGATTAGTTTAATTTTTGATATTTGGAGTGTTAGAATTAAGACTTCACTTCTGTACTATTATCATGCATGAAATTTCCTTTAAATGACTATTTGCATATCGACTTGGAAGTTGCACGATTGTTATTTCTGTTGACGTTTGATTCAAATATAAGTAAGGAACAGGGCGGGTAGTTTTTAAAATGTTCAATAAAATAAGTGTTGATACCTACAAAATTTAAAGTCATTGATTATAGAAGATGAATGATTGAAGTAAAAGCCAAGAAACAAAATGTACAGCAAAAAAAGAACAGAGCACAATGAATAAATACTTGGAAGTTAATGTAATTAAGATTTAAAACGAGGATATTTGCCAACCTTTTTGATTCCTTCAAAATTTTTGAGGTTAAGCAGGACAATGGGTAAACATATGAATCAAACAGATATTTTGAATACATATCACTTAAAAAGTAATTGAAATACAACAGCTGCATTCATGGTAAAAATCAAATGAAGATGCCATAGGTACCAAAAATATTCGTCTTAACATAGAATTTAATCATGGTGACGAATTATGATTAGTTGCGAAATTAAGCAATGGTAGAGTACATGCACTTTTTGTACGAATCATACAAAAAAAACGCGCAGTCGTCAATATTGTGCACAATGAAATCCAATCAGAAACTCAAATACATGACGTACAAGGTTTCATGCATTGCAGGTGTTAATTGAGGTCAGTTTTTTAAATCCCGATTGGCTTAAAATAAATGAATAAATATGATAAATAATTAAGGATCATTAACGGCAGATGAAAAGCTATGATGGGTCATTTATATGACAGCATTGATTATAAAAAAATTAAGTACCAGCAATCTAAATGGTCTCAAGAATTATTTTTCACGATGCAAAAATTCAAATGTGTTCTGTGGGAAAAAATCTGGAAGTCGCCAAAAAAAAGGTTATTTTCATCAAATATTTCTACTTTAATTTGGTAAAAAGGCATTTCATGCCTGCTTCTGTGGGAATCTTTTGAGTGTATACAAAACCAATGCTTTTAGTGTGATCGAACATAGCATTTTATCAATTCTGGTTACTCCTAAACTGGGGGTGCGATATGATGAGGTCCTGAGGTTTTTCTTGCACACGTGGTTTCTGGTTTGGCTGTCCTCTTTTAAACAATAGACTGTTGCATCACTGAATGCATCAATGGATCTTAATCCGTTACCCTTCCTTTTGGCATACTGGAGCTCCAAAAAAATTTGATGAAAATTTTAAAATCTGCCTCGATTTTAACTTTCTTAATGAACTTACATTCTACTGAAATAGCTGATTATAATGAACTAAATTTCTTTACGATGTGTTGATCTACAACAGAGATGGCGTTCAGCAAGTCGCAAATTCAGCAGAAGGAGTACTGATCTTATAATGCCGCAGAATTGTATATTTTCCTTAGTTTGACCACCAATTTACTCGAAATTTCTTGGCAAATCAGTAAATGTAAGCTGTAAACATTTTTTAGAAAAAAATAAAAAATTGCACTCTAGCTGCCTGGTCAGATTCAGGTAGTCACAAGACAATGGGGCGGCAACCTCGAGCGTACCGCATCACGGCCTTGAGGGTTGCTGTGTTGCCATTTACGCGATTATGGTGTTAACCTGTCCAAATTTCCAGACATCATTGTATTGCGCTCCCAGAATAGTGCCATCCTATAACTGCATTCACTGTGCAAATGTTCCTTGAGCAACCCTTCAGAATTACAGCCCAACATCGCAATGAAAGGTTTTGCAGGATTAATGAAAGCTTTCTTTGAGTAAATTTTGGCATGCTCTCATTTGAGGTTCTTTTTTCAGACTTACTTAAACCAAAATCTGCAAATGATGGGTTTAAAATCTTACTTCTCAACCCACAATTCTTGCGATAAAGCGTTGATCCCTAATTTGCAAACAATTTATTTGTAACCCTGGTTTTCTTTCATGTTTTCTATAAGATGAAATTATTAGAGTCCTGAATCAGATATCTTACAATTGCTATCTTCAAGACTAAAGCATGTAGCTACCTTTGCTTCCTTCATAGATAAGCTCCACCCCTAGAAAGATTTTTTAATCTTGCAAAAAATCAGGCTTTTGGAGATTTGCAGTTTAATACACTCACCATCGAATTGCTTCCTTAAGAAGATAGGCATTGGTAGTATGATTGGTAGAAATTTATATAATTAATCAATTGCTGGTATTTAAAAATTCGGAAGAAAATTACCATTACCTTCACTTGTGCCACCCTAAAATCAGGAACATTTTCAGGAACTTTTGCTTCATACGTTGTCAAATGAAAAATAGGTTCTTCATCCTCTACATCCAAAACAGAGACGGTGACAGTGGCTGTCGCCAGTCTTGGGTCAGGGGCACCATCACGAGCAGTTACAACAAATCTGTAAACCTGATAAAATAAGGAGAAACATTACCAGATTAATCATAATTTTCTCATTTCCTGACTTTTTCCTAACCTAAGATCGAAACCTCTACTTAGATTTTTTTTCGTTTAATTATGCTGACTTCAGCTAGTCCGTGGATGAAACCTTATTCGTATTTCTTGAGATCCAGAGTAAACGGAAAGACACTTGAAAGTTGTTTAATGCCGGCTCAGGTTGCTTAGCCAACGCACTGCTTGCAAAATACCTACGTAATTTCTATGTATGCCCTGATTTTTCAGGTTCTCTAGATCGCCAAAGATCCAACATTGAATATTAATACATTAGGGCTGTGCGAATATTCGCAAATTGCGAATAATCGCGCCGTCGCGAATAGTGAATTTTTGAACTGACATTTTCAAATATTCGCGCCGTCACGAGGAATGGCTTTTCAAATATTCGCGCCATCAAAAATAACGATTTTCCGAGTGGCAATCGTGAAACGTTGCGAGGACCTGCGCAAGGCTTCCGCCTCTACCCGAGACATCGCGAACGGCGGATCTCCTTTGATCTTCACCGACTTTGCCGAGTTTACGAACAGAGAGCGCGATTGCGATTGGGGGAATAAGCAAAGAGCCCAAATTAAGGATTGAAAGACACAGAAATGCCTGAAATAGAAAAAAAAAAGTTCATAAACACATTATTATTTACACTAAAACAAATAAAATACTAAAATGTGTCTAGTGATCCTTCGATACTACCTTGACTGCCCGCGCAGTTACCTTCAAATCCTGGAAATGCATACGTAACTGCAGGGACAGTCGAGCCAGCATCCAGGGATCTTCGAGCAAATCCTTAACAGCCTAGGCTACTATCATAGCATTTCATTGTTTTCTGTGCAGGCGTATGAGCAAATGGAAAATTCTTAAAAAATTAATCACATTTTTCTTGTTGACTTTTATAATATTAGCGAATTTTCACACTTAGAAAAGTCATTTCCAATTATTCGTTTTACTATTCGTAGCTATGAATAATTGACTTCAATTATTCATTATTTGCTTTGCTATTCGCGAATAGTTACCGAAATTATTCGCTTTTCGCTTCGTTCGGAAAATTCACTATTCGCACAGCCCTATAATACATAAATTGAAAAATTAACTACTAGAGAATTTCCCTTTTTCAAGGTGGATTAAAAATTGGAAAGAGTCAAGTAAACAGTCAAATCTACATTGCAGAGTTTCAAAATCTTATTTCCTATTTTAACTCTTTGGAAGGAAACCAACGAACACCCCCACTTAAAAATTGTCGCAATTTTAAATTTGAATCAAATTATGACCGGAAAAATTGACTCAAAAAAAAGCTTCATAATTTTGAATGTCCACAGTGATGAAACAAATGAGTATAAGTACCTGCTGCTTTTCATAATCTAATGGCTCAGTTGTAGTGATAACACCATCCTCTTCCTGAATGGAAAATGGAATGTCGTCTGGTAGAGAGTAGTAAACCACAGCATTTTGTCCTTCATCAGCATCTGTAGCTTTCACCTGCCCTACTTTGACTTCACTGCGACCCTCTTTGATTGAAAATTCATATGGCGTATCTTGAAATTCTGGGTTTTTATCATTGATATCGCTCACCCGAATATTGATTGTTGCAGTGCTTGATAAGCCACCTTCATCTTCTGCTTTCACCAGCTACGAAAATAATTTAAAGTAAGACCTTGTCCACACGAGCGCTAATGGCAATGCTTTGGTCAAATTTGTTCCAGGAACTTATTGTAACTTACCTAAATGTAACTTTTTCCACAAAACTCCAGTTTGTGGAACTTATTTGCCGAAACTGCGCTCAGGTGGGCAAGGCCTAAAATATATTCTTGTGAATATCTTGGCAAATATTACTTATGCAGACCACACTAAAATAAAATGAAGTTGGATGGTAACTTAAGAGTACATAATTCATCTAAAAATAACGTTGTTAAAAATTTAGAACATCTCTCCAACTCTTACTGAGCTTTATCTGCCGTTGACTTTCCATGCCTCCATGTAAACTTACATCAGGTAAGATGTAGATGGAGTTACATTAGTAATTGAAAGTTGCACACTATTTAATGTACAGTGAATTTTATTCGTTGCGTTTTTATACTGAGCCCCCCCCCCCTTCTTCTTCTTCGACCAAGGCGGACAATTAATAGACATTTTTGCAAAATTTTCAATTCACTATTGAGCGCTTTCTGATCAACAGATCTCAAAAAAATTGATAACTCCTTGAATTTGAAGACAATTTGAAATGGGGACTAATGATTCAATAAAATGTTCTTTGAAATCAATGGCAAAACCAAGGGAACTCAAAATTTAGTCCAAAGATGCAAGAATCATTTCAGCAGTACCCATCTTCTAGGCTGACTAAAATCTTCTGAATCTTTCCACCTTTTTGTGTTGCCATCTAAAAGATTTCATTCTTTTGGACATGCTGGATTTTTTTCATCTTACTCAATTGTGTACAGCTTAAAAGAAATTATAGCAAAAAATGAAGCAAGCCACTTATACATTCTTGATGTTTATTTCATGAAAAATCATCGATTAAATTGTTGGTAAAGGTTACCAGAGTGAAGTAAACCACTGAACAATTTTTTGCTTTAACGGTAAAAGTCCTGAAGAGATTTTCAGCTAGAAGACGGCAAGAGTAAAATAAATGGTTCCACTATTTACTATCCATGAAAAGAAAGATTAATTTAAAGCCTGTCATGTTCGCATATTTTCCAACACAACATACCAGTTGATATCTTGTCAAATCCTCTCTGTCAAGCTTCCGAATTACTGATACAACTCCTGTTTTTTCACCGATTGCAAACTGTCGGAGGTCATTCCCTGATACAATTGAGTACATCACAGGATCATTCTCTGGATCAACAGCCTGTAAAAATAGAAGAATTCACTTGAGAGTTTTTGACAAAAAGCGGATGAGCCAGTCTCAAAACCTGTTTTCCTTAAACTAGAATTCTAGTTGAGTCCAAACAGATTAGAATTGCATTTATGCAAAGACTGAAAGACATCTGATTCTGTTGAATATTGAACCTAATCATCTTGTAATAATTCAATGCTAGTCTAGGTAGATTGTAATCAGGCCTACCTAGAGAAGTCAAAACAATTTTAATTGGTGGTTTAATCACTTTTGACTTAAGTAACATATAACTAGTGGGCGAAAAAAGGGGAGAGATGTCGTGAGAAGAAGCAAAGAAGAAGAAAAGAAAAACTGGCAATGACAATGATGGCATGATGAGAAGGCACTAGGTAAGGATGGTGGCATTACAACCTGACAAATGCCAAAAATAATGTCATGAAATCGTTGAAAAAACGCTATTGCAATGGTGATTTTGGCAGTAATGTTCCGACGTTATTACAACCAATTTTTAACAAGCTGCTTACTTTTCACAAATTTATTTTTCTAGTAGCAGAAATAAATAAAGTTCAGGAAATGTTACTTGTAATCTATCTAAACACATCAACATCTCTTCCGGCAAGGTGCAAATCCACTTTCTTAGAAGCGAAAATTAGAACTACATACTTCTGGTAATCCTCAAATTTTATCTCTACAAATTTTGAATTTAAATATTAATCTGCGGTTCTCAAGTAATTTTTGTCCCAAAGAATTCCGTTTTCATTGTAAAAATTAGTTCTGTCTGTTCTTCCTTGGCAAAACCAGGGCAGACTTGATTGCTTACAACACCTTTAGGTGGGATTTATTCAGGTGCTCAAAGTAGCGTAAAGTTAAAATTAGGGCCGATTTCTTGCGTTTGTGAGTGACAGGGAGAAAAAGCTTCAATATTTTTAATGTGTGAATAATGAACTGATTTTGCACACCATGCAAATGAAATCACGGAATTTTGCATTCTGGACCTGACTGTCTTGATGTGAAATGACCCAAATACTTTTTTCATTCCACACAGCGATTTAACTTGAACAGTTGTCATAATCAATTTGTAAAATCAGCTGATTATGCATTATACCAGAGATATCGATGATGAAACTCCTAAACCACGTAAGTTGGTTTTGGATGTTGCAGACATCCTGCAATATTTTATTTTTTTAGTGAAAAACCACTCAACAATGATTCTATGAAATTCCCGTGAATTTTATTTTCAATGCAAAGAAAATTCTGTGAAACTTCATGGAATGATATTGATTTGTTCTTTTTCAAAAACAACAATGCGCGCAAGGATTTTAAAACATCACAAAAAAGATATACGGTTGGGGAGTTTCATCGTTGATACCCTATGCCAACATTTGATATTTCTCAAGTTTCAGAAAGTTTTCTTTATCAACAATTTGAACGAAAGTGATAAAAAAAACTGAAGATTAGCTAACAATTTGGGAGGATTCCCAAATTTTACTTACCTACATTTAAAAAAAATTAGTGTATTTTCACACACAAAACAAAATTTCACAGTTTTCATGAGAAAAAATTTTATGAAATATTCTATTTCAGCCTATAGTCTGAGGACAACACGTATTGTAAATAATTGCATGAAGCGAGTAAAAAATAGAATCAATAATGCATGATGAATTCACAGAAATCAGAATTTTGAAAACCAATGAAAAATGCTTACATTAATGGTTGTAACGGTGGAGTTAATAGCTGCTCCTTCACTGACAACAACATCATACACGAACTGCTGAAAGACAGGGCTGCGGGTGTTGGGTCCTGGGACTACTGTCACCTCCACAATTGTTTGACTTGATTTTCCACCGCTGTCAGTTGCCTGATAAAAGATGGAAAAAATCACAATAGCTAAACAAAACCTTCCTACTTGTAGGAAAAAAAAAATTTAAATTGCTATTTGAAAAAGGAAAGGTAAATTTTGATGCACAAAAGAATGATCACTAGGGTGGCCCAATTATTTGTCAAAGTTGCTCCAGTACATCGGGATTTTCCGGAAAATCGATTTTCTCGTAGAAACAGGGTTTTCGGGGAGAAATTAATTTTAAGGAAATGGACGATCGACTTGTAATAGATGTTTTTGGTGTTTTTTAATGGTGAATTCGAAAATCATAGCCGTTTCCCCTCTATTCCACTAGGAGTTTGAAAAAATGTTGACAAAAAATGAAGAGCAAAAACAAAGCATAATTCAGACTGTGAGCGAATATCGCAGGATTTTTAAAAAAGTAACAAAAAATCGATGCAACAAGAATTTCTAAGTAATACAAGAGGGCGTTCTTGTATTCTCCCTATATTTCTTGTAAAAATATTTGATAAATAGTCACATTTACTCAATTTTGCTCACTTTTTCTCCACTTTCCATAAATATACATACAACACTATAGATTTTATTCAGAGGAGTATACAATTTATGTTCTTGTGTTTTTTTGTCGCTAAGTTAAGAAATGACCTTGTTTTATCCTCGAAATTCACAAGTTTTCCAGGGTTTTTTACCTTTCTTACGGGAAAAATTTTGTTTTTCAGAAACTCCTAGTGGAAAAGAGGGAAACGGTTATGATTTTCGATTTCACCGTTAAAAAATACACCAAAAACATCTATTACAAGTCAATCGTTCATTTCCTAAAAATTAAGTTCTCCCCGGAAAACCCTGTTTCTACGAGAAAATCGATTTTCCGGAAATTCCCAATGTAATGGAGCAACTTTGACATCATTTTCGGACTCAGCGTTGAAAAATACATAAAATAAATCTGTCACATGTTGAGGTTTATTTCCTGAAAATTGAGTTTTCCCCGGAAAACCCTTTTTTTATACAAGAAAATCAATTTTCTGGAAAATCCTGATGGAATAGAGGAAAATGAATAGAATTTTATGACTCAGCGTAAAAAATTACGTAAGAAGCACCTACCACATGTTGAGCTTCGTTTTCGGATGCAGACGTACGTAATTATTTGGGATTTATCACCGTCGTTTTACCCTAAGGTGAAAACCTGCTCAATAACCAACAAGAGAGTGAGGTGGCAACACTGATAGCTCCTCCAATCCTATTCAGAGATATGCGCACGCACCAACAACGAACGGGCAGCTCGATGACACAACGGCCGGAAAACCGGTGATAAGGACGCGTTCGCGGTGACGGGTGCATCTACGAGCGTTTTATTAGTGTTTTCAATAAATTTTAGTAAATTTTAGTAAATATTAATAATATACGATGTGGCTTTTAGTGTTTACCAAATCCAAGTGGCCTGATGATGATGTGTACGTAACATCGAAATAGCTATCGCTTAAAATCTGATAACAAGTGATCAGAAAAAAGGTAACATCATCAAACAAAATGCAGCCGGATAAAAAGAAGTTCAACTTTTCATGATTCTCTTCGGCATTCTTTCCTCCTCCATTCTACTAACGTGTCCAAGCCATTGAATTCTTTGCAATTTAATGAATCGAACAATATCTTCTTGTTCCAGTATCTTGTCGATTTTGCCATTGAAAATGTCAGCTTAAGTACTCAAGAAATAATTTCGTGAAAAAATCTCGAAATTCAGCTGGTGCTGAATTCCCTGGTATTCCAGGATTAGTCCAAGTATGATCCTCTAACTTCTGATCATCAAAATTACTGAATTGGATAAAACAAATAGATCTTACTCTACTTAATAGAATTTCTCTTCATTACTTAATTGACAATGAGGGAAGTTGGTATGAGATTGTCACAATGACAGATTTATGAGTGCCGTTACAAGCCCCCCACCGCCCAGAGTTAAACCCATGCTCTCACCGCCTTAACCACTACACCATCGAAGTTGACCATTCACTAAAAAAACTGAACGCAAAATCCTCAGGTGAGCATTTTGGACTACCAGTCTCAAAAACGTACCTGGACGGTAATGCTGTACTGCTCCCCTGCAGTAAGTTTACCAGTGGTTTCAACGACACCGGTATGAGGATCGATTTTGAACTTGTTGAGTCCCGTGTTTGATACATGATAAATATTGTACGTCAGCTCTGCATTTTTCCCCTCATCAACATCAGTGGCAATGACCTGGAAAAAGGCAGCATAGAAAGAGTAATTCTGAGCACCTAAGAACAATTATATTTAAGAAAGAAAAATGTTACTAAAAAAAACCCAAGCTCTTTTCTTTTACTATAATGCACGATAAAAGCACCATAAAACACTTTCAAAAGTTGCATTTTTAGAGGCCGATTTTACCCTACAGAGAAGGGGGGGATGACTGAAGCCTGGCCTCTTACATCACTCTGGCACTCTTCATTGACATTCTTTTCAGTCAATCTTTTCTTTCAATCTTTTCTTTCGCAGTGCTGAACTGCGCTGGCAGCAATCTCTCAATATCCAAGGGTCCCAGGTTCGCTTTTGCCTATAACGACCTCTTTTCTGCACTCAATGTGGAATATCCAACACTTGTTATTTCATGTTTCAATTGAGCTTCCGCAGGTATCAAGCGACTTTCTCACAAATCTACCATGTACATGGTTGATTAAAATAAATAAAAATAATTAATGAAAAAGTAGAAGAAATACACAGTCACTGAATATTTTCTTTTATATTTCATTATTTCACAGAGAAATTGCTCTACATATTCCCATAAAAGTAATTGAATATGCTTCAATGGGTGCAGACAAATCTGCGAGGAAGTCAGGGCAAAAAGACAGACAAACAAATAATCTCACAGATATACTTCTCAGCTTTGAAAGGTAAAGGAAATTCTGGTGGTAGGGTGATTCCATGTCAACTCAACGAGGTTTTGAACCTTGACCTCTCGGATCATGTTCAAACTTGGTGTGCTGCAAGTTCCTATTGAAAAAGAAATATTCCCCAAATTTTAGGTCATTTGGTCGCTCCGTTAATTTTATACAGAATTTCAAAGTTTGGAAAAAATTGAGTTTTTTTATGACCCATAAAACTTTGAACGGCTGTTACTTTTCAACGGTTCATCAGAAAAACTTGAACTACGTCTTGTTTAGAAGCCTAGAGGTTCTTCTTTTTGAAAAACAAAAAAAAATTGAAAAAAAAAATTTGGAAAATTTTGAATTTTCAAATTTGAATTTTTCAAAAAGGGCATTTTTTAAAATTTTGATTTTTTTTGTAGGTGATCCTTACATAATCTTGAAGCATTTCCCAAAGTTTCATTGTGGGCCGCCAAGCGGTTCCTGAGTTATAGAAATAAACGCACCGTAATCCTACTTAAAATGCATCATATGTACCTTTTATGTATGTATAACAAGGTGGAGAAATGGTGTTGGGTCCACACCATTTCACTTGGTGCTGGGTCCATATATATATAGTCATGCATAAGCCATGCATAGTAGAGACAGATTCCCTTGACATGGCTGTTCATAGTTAATAGGCTCTAAATAGTGGGAATAGGATGTCTTCATGGATGCTCATCGTTTAGTATCACCTTTTGTAAAATAGATATTTAAAACATCCAAAGGGGGGGGGGGAGCGGGATGCCTGCTCGCTCTCCACATGGAACATTTTTGCCCTCCCTCAACAGCAAATTTTTGCAAGATTTTTTTTGTTTCCTCTTCTTCTCTCTTTTCCCTCAGTGAAACTCAGAAAAATGAAGGAAAAATAAGAAATTATATCTAGCTATGAGTACTACTTAGAAGATTAGCAAAAGTAATATTAATAAGGGAACCACTTATGATAATTTTGTCTTTATTATACATACTTCTTTTAATCTTGGTTGATTTAACTGCTTAATTCTTATTTTTCCTTCATTTTTCTGAGTTTCACTAGGGGAAAAGAGAGAAGAAGAGGAAACAAAAAAAATCTTGCAAAAATTTGCTGTTGAGGGAGGGCAAAAATGTTCCATGTGGAGAGCGAGCAGGCATTCCGCTCCCCCCCCCCCTTTGGATGTTTTAAAAATCTATTTTACAAAAGGTGATACTAAACAATGAGCATCCATGAAGACATCCTATTCCCACTATTTAGAGCCTATTAACTATGAACAGCCATGTCAAGGGAATCTGTCTCTACTATGCACGGCTTATGCATGACTATATATATATGGACCCAGCACCAAGTGAAATGGTGTGGACCCAACACCATTTCTCCACCTTGTTATATATACATAAAAGGTACATATGATGCATTTTAAGTAGGATTACGGTGCGTTTATTTCTATAACTCAGGAACCGCTTGGCGGCCCACAATGAAACTTTGGGAAATGCTTCAAGATTATGTAAGGATCACCTACAAAAAAAATCAAAATTTTAAAAAATGCCCTTTTTGAAAAATTCAAATTTGAAAATTCAAAATTTTCCAAATTTTTTTTTTTCAATTTTTTTTTTGTTTTTCAAAAAGAAGAACCTCTAGGCTTCAAAACAAGACGTAGTTCAAGTTTTTCCGATGAACCGTTGAAAAGTAACAGCCGTTCAAAGTTTTATGGGTCATAAAAAAACTCAATTTTTTCCAAACTTTGAAATTCTGTATAAAATTAACGGAGCGACCAAATGACCTAAAATTTGGGGAATATTTCTTTTTCAATAGGAACTTGCAGCACACCAAGTTTGAACATGATCCGAGAGGTCAAGGTTCAAAACCTCGTTGAGTTGACATGGAATGACCTGGTAGGTACCCTAACGATGACTGCTTACAAAAGAAAATTATTAGATAGGGTAATCTACCACAGAAACGGGTATTCACAATGTTAATGGAGACTAGGTAGGACTACTTGAAGGGCTTGGAGGACAAGGCCCAAAAGTGCACTTTTTGCTATTTCGGAAAATACGTGTTTGAAGTTTCGAAATTACACGGACTTTCATGGCAGAAAGAAAATTGAAATGGACTTTTTGATGCTTAAAAATTGGAATTTGGGAGCGAACTTTCCACAGAATATGCGTTAAGACTGGTTTTACTTGAAATGAATTTACTATTACTGCATCTCAATTTCTTCAAAAACTGCACTTGTGCGCCTTGTCCTCCAAGGTCTTCAGTCATTTACCTTCCCAACCGTTCAAAATCACATGTTTGAGGGGATAATGTGAGCTTTCTCATGAGATTCTGTCCTAACTATATGTTTGTAGAAGTTTGATTAAGTACATTGGACAGGATTTGGTTGACTAGAACTTTCGGTCCGCAAAGTTTCAACTAAATATATTGCCTGGTATTTGAGCTATTTATTTAAAAAATACTCCAATTCTATTCTTAAAAAGGACCCCGCACACCTCTTATGGGAAGCTGCACCATGACCGATTGCCTTCTGACTTATGTTTTTCGATTCTCCTCAAGATGCTGATCAAAAGATATAATTGCGCCAACTTTCTACGATGCACCGTTTTCGCAAAAAACCTAAGAGAAGATCCCATTATTCGGCGACTATGAATAAAAAAGAACAAAGCATTTGAGGACAGGCCCGATGTAAATAAGGAAAAAACGTAGCGCGTGTCAGTCTTCTTATCTGTACCTGCCGACTCAGAGGCTATCTCCCTCCTGCACTCGCCCGGTAGACGTTCAGACTTTCCTGTTCTTATGCTCCTCAAGAATCTGATTTGGATGGTCGAGCAAAACGGCGTGCGGAATCCGAGATAAGACTGCCGCTCAATGCAGGAGTTCCCCTGATTTGTTCACTCAAGTACTGAAATGAGGAATCTTTCTGGCTTTTTATCGCCGAATAATTGAATCTTCTCTTAGGTTTTTTGCAAAAACGGTGCATCGTAGAAAGTTGGCGCAATTATAACTTTTGATCAGCATCTTGAGGAGAATCGAAAAACACAAGTCAGAAGGCAATCGGTCATGGTGCAGCTTCCCATAAGAGGTGTGCGGGGTCCTTTACTTTTGCACACTAAATGGTATATCAGGTGGCTCAGGTGACTCCTTATGTAGCAATCCTACAATGAGTTGCATAATGGTTCTTCTTCTGACTGATTAATGCCTCCTAAGCATGAGACTTCAGGCAAGTGCTTGCTTTTAATCTAGATTTTTCTGGTCTTTTTAGAAATAAATGGAAATAATGCACAAGTCCTTAGCAATGAACTATAGACCGACTGTATTTTATAAGAAGGTATTTTTACCTGGACTATTTGTCTGTGAGCTTCACCAGCTTGAACAGAGACAGGTGAAATCATCGGCAATCGAGGTGCATTGTCATTGACATCATTCAGATTGACCGTCAACGACAGGGGTGCACTAGCTGCATTGCCACTCTTCTCACGCGCGACAACCTGGAAAAGAAGGAGAAAAATTTATGACAGTTCGGCAAAAGAGGAATTCTCCAAAATGAGAGACAGGTCGATTATTACCTGGATGTACTTATTACTTATTATTTTACATCATTGGTCAGCTGAGGGCAGATATTAGAGTCTTGGAAAGAAATCTTTTGAAAATATTGAGTCAGAACTATAAGCTTAAGTGAATTACAGCTTTAAGTTTTTAGACTGAATCATTTAAAAATCGGTTTTAGAGGCAACTGAGATGGACTTCTAGCGTATATTCGCTGGTATTTCCAGAGACGATTGCATCAGAAATGAGACAAAGAGGGAAATCCTGGATGTTAAAAGACCATCGCACATGACATGATGACGAAATAACTTGGTCATGTTCAGAGAATGGCAGAAGACAGGTTGCCAGAGAAGGTACTAAATTAGGATTCTCTTAGGAGGAGGCACAAAGGGTGCCCAATGAGAGGGTTAAGAGATGAGCAGAGATGTTAAGATGCTCACTGCTCAATTCCCGAAGGGCTGTGGTTCAATAGGAGACAATGGCTGTTAGGTGTCGCAGTGCCAGAAAGTGTTATCAAGTGGCATGTATATTTATCGTTCAAAAAATTTCTGAATCTTTCATTCAGAGAAAAAAATAATTTCAGTAAGAGATAGCTACAGCTACACACATAAGTTAGAAGAGTTGAATGCTTACCTGAAATCTGAATTTTCCAGGATTTGGCGGATCACGATCCAAATTTTCTTCATTCACAACGAGGAATCCATCTTCATCAATGGTAAAAGAATTTGTAGTCAACTCAAATATGTAAAATGGTTTGGGATCCTCGGGACCCTACAAGAATAAGGTTCGAAAATAACTGATGAAGTGCCTACTCAATATAAAATTGAAAGACAGTTAAGCAGAAGAATTTACTATAAGTAGGATTTTGAAGTGAATTCCTCTCCTTTTGTAAGATACAATTTCAACGGCCAAACAACGTCAGAAGCTGCATCAAATTTCAAACATTCAGGTCAAAAACAACAAGGTTTCTATAGAGTTTTCAACCCAATTAAAAACCCTAACACTCTCCACTGGGACTAATAAGCATTTACTATTGGCAGGAGAAACATGAAAAAAATTATAACTTCTTGCTTTTACAGACAGCCTTTCTCAGAACTAATTTTTCCTAAGCTCTTCATTATAGTAGTTTAATTGCCTAGTGCTTCAGTGGTTGGTTTTGAAATCGCTATAAAGTCAAAATAAACTTCAGCATTTGTCATTCTGAATATATTTTTTGCTGGGAATTTTGATAGAAATTCGACAAATTGACAAGAGAGAAAAATGTTTCGAATTTTTGACCTTTTTGGGTCAAAATTATCCGGGTCAGTTGCTTCAAGAGTTGTATTTACTTCATGATTTTAGCAAAGGAGGGGGAAAAAAGCCTGGAGGTAGTGATTGTGCCATTACCCACTGAAGTAATTAACTCGAAGTATTTTAAAAAGCTCAATAAGTGAAAACTTGAACATAGAAAAGAAGAAAATATTAACACGCATTGATAAATGATGAGGAGAATATAACAGAGGTAAAACAGAAATAACCTCAGTTAAGAATTGTTCATGAACCAACGAGGGAAATAAAAATTAGGTAACTGCTACAAACCAGGTCCGGATCGCTAACAGTGAGCTTAATGGGAATATCCTCCGAGTTGATTACTTGGGTTCCTTTCGGAGCATTTTCATCCACAAAACCCTCTGCGTCAGAAGCTTTTATTTGTGGCGGATTGCTATCGACTGGTTTAACAGTAACAATGAGTTTTGCAACTGCAAACCTTTTTGTCTCCGAGACTTCTTCAGCCTGTATTTTGAGATAGAAACAAAAGTCTGATTAAAATACTGATTAAAATAGTAAAAAAATGCCGAGATCTAAAAATTAAATTATACTGTATAAGTCATCACCATTGGTCCATCAGAGGCCTCTGTATATTTAATTCGCTTCCTTCTGACAGGCGGAATTCATAAAAGCTCTTAGTAGAATACCGCCTAAATTTTACAAGGAATTTTAAATTGATATTAAGACATACTTGGTCACGGATTATCAATGGTGTGGCAGGTAGGTTTTTTTCCACGATTAATATTATATGGATGGTAAAGAAAAAAAATACATAGGTAATTTAGCTAAAAGTTAGGACATTATTTCTAATCGGACTTGATATCTCTTGCAATAAAACAAATACTTAAGAAAGAAAGAGGGTATGGAGACAAAAGTTGAAACAAAGAGAGACTCTTAAAAGCGAAGGATTGTTTCAAAATTTCACAGATGCTTAATTTTCAGAGGTCCTAGTTGATGGAAAATCGGCTGACAAACTTCTAGTTACCTATTCCATTTACCTACATTCAACTTTTTTATAAGTTGGACGTAGCCCTTCTGAGAAAATTCAGGGATCATGTATAAAAAATTCAGTTAAAAATATTGCTTTGATGCTAATACATAAATTATATTGAAACAATTTAATAGGAATAATTTAATAATAAATTGAAATACATTAATGTAATACTTTGATATTGAAAATCATCCGGTGACTAAAATGTGTGTTTTGTTGTTGACTGTTGAACAACTTGTTAAAACGTTTTACGAAAAATACTGAGAGGAGATCTTGATCTCTCTTAGCTCTGTTAGCTTGCATTTTTTTTTTTTTTTTTTTTTTTTTTTTTTTTTTTTTTTTTTAATTTTTTAATTTTTTTTTTTCTTTAATTTTCTGTTCTTCAAATTGTATTTATTAATTTATTGAACATGAAAGTATATAAGTACAGAGACGTACTTTGATGGTGAGTTGAAATTTCTTGGTTATAGAAGTGTCAACTGCTCTTGTTTGCTTAACTGTGCCAGTTTGAGGGTCGATAAGAAAATAGTCCTTGAAAGATGCGGGAGTGCCGTTGACAAAGCTGTATAGGATGGGTGCATTGATGGAATCCATATCAACTGCTTGAATTTTCTCAGGAGTTACAGATAATACGCCGGACACAGCTCCACTTGAGACCTGTAGCAGAGGCACAAATCCATATATCACTGCATCTTTGTAAATAACACGTATGCGCTGCAGAGGCTAATAAACATAGCTAACAACATTACATAAAAACGAATAGAATATTTTGCTTCTTTTCCAAAATTCTTGCCTGTTTTCTGTCCAGAAGTTTCAGGAATTTTGCCTAAATATTATTTGCCGTGCCACTTCCCGACTGTCCGATGAAATACAAGGATGGTGAAACTGAGAGACAACGTACGTGATGAAACCCGTACCTTGAAAAGAGAGAAAAAAACCTGTCAACGTTTCTAAAGCTCAGGCTGATCGTGGATTTTCCGCCTTTTCACGGTGACGGATCTCCGATGGGTGTTGCACCATCGCACTGATGACATCAGTCACATCAGATTCAACAGGATTCAAGACGAATCGATCGGATAGACGCGAAAATTCGCTTTTTAATGATGAGATTGAGGAAGAGACTTACGGTGGCGTAATAGACAGGGTTGACGCAAGATCCGTCGAGGAGCATGCACCCCTGATAGATGAAGGAGGGGTCTTGGTCGTCATCGTCCTTGACGTTCACCGTGAGCGTCGTCGTCGAGGAGAACCTCTCCGATTGGTTCCTGGCACGGTCCTGCAACATCAGAAACAACAAGAAAAATAAGAGACACTGCCAGTAGGGGACACGGCCTATAGACAAGGCACATTGATTAGCAACTATTCTAGCTAACCAGAAACAAATGAGCGGGACTGTCCAACCTCCACGGGCGAATCTCCGGGACTGCATTCTATTCATTTTGTGACGGATGATTGTTGTATCACCATTGGAATTTCGACCGATCAGAATTATTGAGTGGATAATTTTCAAGCAAATCCTGAAGAAAATGAGCCAAATCCCTCATTCGGTTCAAAAAGTGTGCCAAATTGCTCAATGCAATAATGGTTCTGAATGAAGAACAGTGTTTTTTTTTTCATCTTTCACTTCATAACATGTAATAATTATGAGCAATTTACAATTATATTTGCACTGTGTGCAAAAACTTTTACACGAGGTCGTTTCACGTTCCCCTCTTCATCTTCCGAATCGCCACCGTTTCGCAATTACTTTGGAAGAATGATTTTTCTTCGAGGTTATTTGTGAGACCCATTACTCCCATCCACTGCTCGACCCACCTCCGAAATTTTGGATTTGGTTCAGACATCGGTTCCTGATAAGCTCAACGGACGGGTGGATTGGGTTGGAAAAGAGAGGTCGCCATTTTGACCACCGCCATTTTGAGAGGGATAGGATTTCCGCGAAACTAATGCCAAAATCTTTATCTCGTCCCAAAAGACCTCCGGATTCCAGTTTTCGCCCAAATCCGTCAAAATTGCGAAGATGTCACATTTCCATTTTTTTTTTAAACTTTGACCGGCCGCCATTTGGTCAAAAATTAAGATTTTGGCTTGCTGTTTGCGCAAAAATTGTTCTTTGGTTACCCTCTTTCGATTAATGTGTTACAACGAGGGGGCATTCAAAAAAAAGTTGAGGTCCGCAGCCTCGCCCCAAGGGGGGGGGGCGAAAATCTTGGGGGGCCCCCCAAAAGTAGCTAACATTGATCGATGAACATCCCCAAAGTTTCGTTTCAAAATATTATTCGGTGAAATTTTAGAAGGGGTGAAAGGGACTTTTGAGACACCCTATATAGGAGTCAAATTGAGAAAACCCTCTATTTTGAGTAACTTTGCCATCTAAGCAGTGGCAAATAATCCACAAAATAATATAATGCTCAACGCTTGCGTTTACCGGGCCAACTCTTCATTCTCCTTCTTATATTTTGTGAGAGAGTGGTGGCGTCAAAATAAATGTGATATCCTGCTATTTTAAAACTGCTAAAATTGCAAAAGGGGGGCTATGACCCCTGGCCGCTGCGCGGCCCAGCCCCCGGAGGGCGCTTCGCGTTCTCTTAGGCCCGCGTCGACAAAAGAACGACTCAAAAAAATGGAAAGATTTTCACACCCAACTCTCATTTATCTAATCTCCCTCTGGCCGGGAGGAATTGAACCAATAAGAATCGAATGAAAAAAATCGGCATTTATTTCTTTCACGCCAAGACTGAAACGAAACGGAACGGAGCGTTTCGTCGCTTTATGGATAGTCTGTAGCAAAGAAGCAAACCATCGATTCACTTACTGTACTAACAGACCAAGATTCAAAATCTCCCACTTAGTTCAATTTCCCGCCAAATTTGAAATTCCCACCATTTTTCATTGGCGGGAATTTCAAATTTCGCCCCCCTTTCTAAGCTTTCTGGTCTCCTCTCATATAAAAAACCTGGGTCCTATTTTCAAATTTTGATTACAGCGGGCTCATCTAGGAAAGATCACCTGTCTACAACCGCAAAAATCATGGAAATCGGCCCAGTAGAACGCTCAAACGAACTATGACAAAAAATAAATAAAAAATTACATTGTTTAAATGGGAGAATTTGCAACTTTAGCACGTAATATAAAACAATCTGGTTCATATTTTCAAAATCTAAAGAAAGCGGGCTTATCTAAAGGCAATTGCCTGTAGATAGCCGTAAAAATCATGAAAATGGGCTCGGTAGAACGCTGGAACTAAGCGTTACCAGATACGCAAATTTAGGAGGTCTCGGAGCTTATAGTATAGAAGATAGCGTTTTGTTGGATAAAAATGCATTAAAAATGAATTTACGCCATTCTCGGCGGTATCCAATGGGGAAGGGGTGGGGGTGGGGGTGGGGGCCTGAGGAAGAGATGCCAAAAGGGCTGAAATCTCTAATTTAAATAATTATCGTATGAACGAGATTTAATGCCTTAGAGCAAAATTAAACGTTATGGAAACCATATGACGGCCCTCAAAGGGCAGAACTGGGATCCAGCGCTGCCGCTGATTTCGGCCATGCGAATCTCCGACTTCAAGCACTCCTAATTTTTGTAGAAACGATCAAGTAGGTAGCAATGTTTGTTTGATTTTAATTTCTGCCGTAACTATTTTTGCCAAAAAAAAAAAAAAAAAAAAAAAAAAAAAAAAAAAAAAAAAAAAAAAAAAAAAAAAAAANAAAAAAAAAAAAAAAAAAAAAAATCGCTGAGAAAAAAGATATTTAAGAACACCGAAAAAATGGAGATTTCTTCTAATTTCCCACAATTTTCAGCGCGCTCTGGCAGTTGGTATACGCATTTTATCAAATCTTTGACACATGTTTCTACAAGGTGTTAGAAAAGTCCCCCCCCCTCTTTCTAACTTTGTACCTAATTGAGGTAGAGATTTGAAACTTGGAGGGCATTACTCGGTCAAAAGGAGCTACTTTTTGACTTCCCTAAAATTTTGAGGGGGGTCTCCTTGGGGGGTTAACGGACCCCAACTTTTTATCTTCAATTAGGGAGACCCCTCTTGTGATACCTCGTTCGAAAGAACATAAACAAAGAAAACTTTTTGTGCAAACCCGAAGTCAATATCTCAAACCGTTTCAAAATGGCGGCCGGTTAAAGTTCAAGATGGTCGAAAACTGACACCGGTTGTTTGTCGACGGATTTGCGCGAAAGGTGTCTGGAGGTATTTTGACACGAGCAAAACGAATTTAACGTTAGATTTTCAAAACAACCAAAATTGTCAAAATGAGGGCCGATTAAAGTTCAAAATGGCCAAAAATTGGCATCTCGGTTATTTGCCTATAGATTTGATTGAAACTTGGAACCTAGGGGTATTTTGGCATTTTGAAATTAGATTAAAAAAAAAAAAAAAAAAAAAAAAAAAAAAAAAAAGAACAATTTTTGGGCTTGAACTTCAACCATCCGTCATTTCGACAATGCAATGGATGGATGGATGGATGCAATTTCCGAGGAAATTGTGTGTGTCCTTTGTACCGAGTGTTTTGGGCTTTGGATTGCTGCGAAAGACGTCTCATGACCGGCTTTTCGGGGCCGGAGTTAAGTTCGGCCGGCTTCAGCTTTGACTCTGAGTAGTCGGCTACGCGTTTTGGGAGAGTGTACGTTCGCCGAGGTCCGATGTCCTAAGCACTCGGAAATTGGCCTGCTTAGTTGTTGTGTTGAGTGCATTTTTGTGGTCACGAAGTTCGTGTGTTCGTCGAGTTTCTGTTAGTTCATGAGTGTTTGAGGGAATAGAGTGTGTAAGGAGTTATTTCTTCTGTTCCGAGCTACGCTGCGCCCCCAAAACAGATAGGCTCAGGGCTCCGAGACCCAACAAAGACTCACCCCGGGTCCATTGCAACCATTTTGGTTTTTTTTTTTTTTTTTTAATCTAACGTCAAATTCGTTTTTTTCGTGTTAAAATCCCCCAAAACCGAGTTTCAGGCAAATCCATTGACAAAAAACTTAGATTTCAATTTTCGGCCATCTTGACCTTTAACCGGCCGCTATTTTGAAACGGTTTGAGATATTGACTTCGGGTTTGCGCGAAAAGTTTTCTTTTGTTATGTTCTTTTGAACGAGGTATCACAAGAGGGGTCTTCTTATTTGAATTTTGAGAGTTTTGAACACTAACCGCCACATGAACGTATATTTTCGTGCTTTCAATACACCCGTGTACACAACATAAAACCATTTAACATTTTACATTGACAGAATGAATGTAGAAAAACGGCTGTAGGTGACTGTTTGAACACCCGAGTAAATCACTTTGCTTGCACACATTATGAAGGCGAAAATTGTGTTGAAGTCGAGTGAGATAGGCCATAAAAGAAGGTGAGAAGGAGAAGATGGAAATAATACCACGGCTTGGAAGCATTCAATTTCCATCGTTTGCTCAAAAAATCCCACAAAGATAAAATATATTGACTTTTAACAACAATGGAGTGTGAGAATGTTTATAATTGCCCGAGGGCGAGCTCTCCGACACAGTGGTGTTGGCGTCTGCAGCTTGTTTATTTTTGCGAATGTTGGTGAATTAAGTTGACCGAATCATTTCAAATTAGGGGATGTACGAAACTCCCGGTTTCTATTGAGTAACTAGTATACCAATAATTTCTGAGCGACGCCCGGAACTGGGGCCCCGCAACCCGCATACCGACGGTGAAACTACCAAACCACGTATCTCGGTTTGCGACGTCGCAGACTTCCTGTCATACTTTATTTTTTAAATGAAAAACTATTTAACGTCTAGTCTTGAAAATTTCTGTGATTTTTCCTCTTCGCGCGGAGAAAATTCTGTGAAAATTTCAAGGAATGATATTGATTTGGTCTACTTCCAAAAAATAAAATGTGAGCGTAGATTTTTAAACACCGCAAACGAGATACGTGGTTTGGTAGTTTTACCGTCGATACAGCATCGCCATTCGCCGCACACCACCATCAAGAGTACTGGACAAAACAGTCTCAAAAAGTGACTTCATTGGTGCCCCAGCCCAGCATGCACATTGCGACTTTATTGATCTCTATGATTCTACCATCCTATATACTTGTTTATTTTACATGAGCTCAAATGATATCTGGCAACGATGCTTGGGATAAACGGTGGCAGAAAATACAAAAGGAGTAAGGTTAAGTATTTGTATCGGGTGCGTCTGATGCGTGCTCTACCGGGAGCACGTCTTAATTCGATCCTCCTTCAGTGCTGCCAGGAGTGAGAAGGTGGAAGTGGGAGAGGGGGCCTACGATAGGGATGGGGCACCTGATTGATATACGCAGCTGGAGCCCAAGACGCAATGAAAGTTGAAAGTTGCTTCGATTGGCGGGTATAAAGCGGGGACGGGGCAGCGTTTATGACCACGTCGACGCGTGTCTGCCTGTTGTAACGCTCCAGCCGTCTGATCATTGAAACTGATAGACGAAGCGATAGGGAAAATGTAGGAATCCCATTGGTTGAAACGGATGCGGCTCCTAAAGATCGAGGGGTATAGGGTCCCTCGTGGGATGTCGTTCATTAGTTTGTTACCCACCTCCTCAGTCCATTACAACCCTCTTCCACCGATAGGATTGATCAATTTTCCGTTTCGTCGGTCGATTTTTTCAATAATCAGCCCGAAGCGAGAGTAATCAAGGAGCCGCGGTTCACGGTTTGTTGCACAAGATTTTATTATGATTGTTGCACTTTACTGCAGCACGGATGATATTCTCGGTTAAACACCTTCTAAAATGACGGTGAAATTTTAATATGATGCTAAAAAAAATCCCCTGGATCCTCCTTTGGAACCGCAGGAATACCGCACATTCTCCTTTGTGGGGTATCTTTGGGCCTCTCCCCCCCCCCCCCCCCCCCCCGACCCTCCTGATTGAGGTGCCCTTCTGGTCACCCACGAAAAGTTCCTAGTTCCATCCATGCTAATAACGTCTTCTAGGGTCCTTCCTTCGCGATGCGAGGGGCGACGATGGAAAAAAACAAGAGGAGATAGTTGGCATTACTAGAACGTTCATGAGCGACATATGGCGGCCAAAGTACCACTCTAGAAGAAAGTTCCCAGTAATTCATTATCTACTGGATTTGGATTCGGAAAGAAACTGAAAAAAGCTTCATTTGTCCACGGACGAGAAGAGGAAACGAAGCGGCGCTGGAACAGGCGACTACCACAGTTTTGCATCCGTGTGGTGGCTCTTAACGCACCACTTTCCAACGTAATGTATATCAGTTAGGCACGCTATCTGTCCGCGCCTATTCCTCATTGCCTGGATTTATCCAAACAAGAATTTGCATACAAATATATTACCGAGCCGGTCGCGTCTACCATGTGCGTGAGCCGTCATTTTGACACTTTCTGCATTCGCAGCAATTGCACCAGACTGTATGTCGGGTGAAATGCATTCAAAGAGGTGGAGGGGGGCTGGAAGGGCCTCCTTGAGAAACCCACCTGACATCGCGTTGAGGCCGAATGAGTATCTATCAAGTTTAACCCGTCTCGATGACTTCCGAGTCCTGCTGTCTGGGGCTGGATTTTTTTGGTCCTTGTCCCTCCGCCGTACTTAAAACTTCGGACGAATCTCGACTGCACTCAAGTCCGACTTAGCGCTTCTGAATGGCCAAGGGTGAGGTTTGGACTTATCTACGTATGTTGTACCTCCATTGGCTCCATCCATGCGAAAGAGCCGACAAAATTTGACCCACGGTGTCCATCATCACTCCTCCTTCCCCCTTGCTTCCCCCTCCCCTCCCGTTGTGAGCACTTCCCGCATATCTTTCTCTCGGTGTCGACTTTCTCATCAAAATACCACGGAAAATGTGGTGATCTTATCGAAAACTTCAAAAATTACTCTGAAAGAGGAAGTAGTGTTAATAGTTTACACTATAAATAGAGAAGTCAAACTTTTGCTCACGAAAAACCCTTGATTTATGTAGGTTAAATCAGCCAATAAAGAAAAACCTACACGTTGAGCACAGAAACGTTTCCTTCTCTGTTACTAGGTATCGATAATCCTGACCAAAAATTAAGTTACCACACATAAAGAGATTTCTCCCATTATAAAATGTACCAAAATTAATTCCGTATTCTACCTAGCTCAGGCAGACTTATCTTTATCTGAGAAGAAGGTTGAATTTCCATGCATGGAAACGATTTTTTCACTTCAGTATGGGATTCGGAGAGTTTTATTGCGCCTTTATTCTACTTTACGCAAAAATGGTGAGTACGCCCCTAACCGCTTATCGGTCCACTTCTCCGAAGGGCTTCGCGCCTTAGATTTCATACGTTCTGTGTAACTTTAATGATTTTGTATTAAAGAGAATGATTTTCTGAATAAGTACTGTGGTATTTCATTTAGAGTAATTTTAAAAGAAATGCACCAAGTTTTTGGTGCGTGTACGTAGTAGACCGTTGATGAGATGCTTTGAAGTTCCACCAAAACGTCGACTGATCAGGTCGAATAAAATTAAGACACGGCAATTCCAATATCTTTCAAGGTTGGGTACCCAGCGCGCAGATTGCAACCAATACAGGAATGCAATTTCAACAAAACTCATAACTTGACTTCTTTCTTCTGTATCACGTCGAGGTCACCAAATGTTGAATCTTAGCTTGATTCAAATAATTAGAAAAATTGAGAAGAAACACTTTTTTAGTAATGATCATTCATCAAGATAAACCAAGAGGACATATAAAGAGCATAACCTCTCTTCTAATCCCCAATTTCTATAAACCGCTGTTTTCAGCAATTATTAAACTTAACAGCATCTATTATTTGGGATATCATTTTATTTTGGGCGACGAATTTTTATATGTTTAGCTTGGTAGCTCATATTTACATGGAAATATTTTTGGTGGAATGAATATAACTCACAATTATTTTGAGGCGTTTCTATAATTCGTTCAGTAACTATAAAAACCAGGATAAACCTGAATGTGACTATGCAGATATACTTATGACGCGCTCTTCCAACACCACGTGTTGGATTTACCAGCTTGTTTTGGGGCTATAGTAGCCAAATAACTGGTAGTGAATCCCGTTATGTTATTGAAAAGAAACTGATTCGATATTATAATGCCTGAGTTTCTTAAATACAATTATTTAAGCTCTCGAACACTTATACTCCCAATTTTAGCCTTGTTGTAATTTCCTAAAATAAGGATTTCCTAATTATGTAATGAATTAAATCAATCAATCATTCAATATTAAAGTCTGATTTTGAATTTTATAGACGTAATGGGTCCTCTAGAGCAATTTTCCACCATGTACAATGCTCATTATATTTTTTTTTTATTCTCGAAAGGGGTCAGAAAATGGCGGCCACGGAGAAAGCCCACTTGAAAAAAACCAATCACAGCAATACGTCACAAAAATGAAGAGATGGCGTGACTGCTCAGAATTTTTTTCAAATTTTGTTTTAAAAAAATAGATGAATTAATAAAAAGAAATAAATATGGAAAAAATGTAGGAATATGATAAACTTACGGATGCAACAACGGTGACAAGATACTTCTGCGTTTTCTCGTAGTCCAAACTCCGACTGACGGTGACCTGACCTTGGTGGGGGAGTGCGATGTTGAAGAAGCCGGCGCCGTCAGCGACGGTGACCAAGTTATTGCTGCCGAACGTGGAGGGCTCGCCGGGAACGATGAAGTACTCGACGAGTCCATTCACCCCGGCGTCCGCGTCCACCGCCCTCAAACTCTGGAAAATTGTTGTCCCCACAGGAGTCAACTGCGCACAAGATAAGAGACAAATCCAAGCTTAGTTCATCTATTTAGGCAAGACGATTTCAGAATAGGTGCCCCGATCCCGATGACGTCATTGACGGGTTCTCCGATGACATCATCAGTCTGAAAAAAACCGCAAGTAGCCGAATGGAACCCGCTAGCGACAGGCACTCTTGCCACTGAAATACATCCAACTTGAAACCAATGAAATTTCAGTGAAACATTTCATAAAATTTCACCGGGATGTGAGATATTTAATAAATATGAAACTTATTTAAGGTGTTGCGTATGTAATCCGCACTCAAATGCATGAATTCCCTCAACTTAACGTTTTTCCGTCATTAAAGTTGGAAAAATCAGATTTCCTTGTTTTCGTGTCAGTCGGAGGGCACACATTGGTCCTTAAAAGCAAAAAGCATATTNGGGGGGGGGGGGGGATTGGTAAATTCACAAAGCTATGAGAAAAGATTACACGGGCGACCTCCTAAGAGATGGGCACAAAGCTGGCTCTCTTCTCCGGAGGGTGATGGAAGATTTTATGCTGTTTTGGTAGTTCTGACAAGTCCCTTATTTTTAGTGATTTTTAGATTTTTAATATTTATACAGTTTATTGTGCTCGATGCTGGATGGCCTGACAACAAGGCTATGCCCTACTCGTTAGTGGCAGAAGAAGAAAAGATGAATTGTGTTGTTGATAATTAATTAAACTGGTTCTTGTTTGCGGAACTTTAGGCCGACTACCTTTGAATGCGATTTTTTCAGAGAGCATTAGCTTCTGCCTCTTTGGGTTCTGAATTGTTCGTAGTACCGATAATTGTACATTCAGGCAATTGTCTCTAAATAAGCCATCTTTATTCAGATTTTGAAAACAGAGCCCAGGTTTTTTTTTATATTAGAGGAGACCAGAAAGCTAAAAAAGGGGGGCAAAATTTGAAATTCCCGCCAGTGAAAAATGGCGGGGATTTCAAAAGTAGCGGACAACTGACGTAAGCCGGAAATGTTGAATCTTGGTCTATTAGTAGGGTAAGTGAATCGAAGGTATGCTCCTTTGCTACAGACTATCCAAAAGCGACAAAACACTCCGATCCGTTTTGTTTCAGTCTTGACGATGAAGTTTGAAATAAATGCCAATTTTTTTCGTTCGATTCTTATTGGTCCAATTGCTCCCGGCAAGCGAGGGAGATTGGATAAATGAGAGTCGGATATGAAAATCTTTTCATTTTCTTTTATCGTTCTTTTGTCGACGCGGGCCTAAGAGAGCGCGAAGCGTCCTCCGGGGGTTGGGCCGCGTAGCGGCCAGGGCGCATAGCACCTTAGTAGATTTTATCGAAAAAAGTCGGCAACACTATGGCATTGAAGCAAGAGGAGCAGAAACATGGGCGATAGGCTCGTGGATGACGAGAACATGACATGTTGCGAGGGAAGCGAGGAGATTGCGAGCCAACTTGGCACCCCGATCAACAGTATTCTCAATAAAGGCCAACGCCATTTGAATATTAATCCGCTCAAGGTGTGCCTTGTTTTTCTTGCCGCCATCTTTTCACCTGCCGACAGAGTTGTCTCATTTTCCGCCGCAATCCTCCAGTACTTCTTTGATTAACGTGGAAATATTCCTTCCGCGTAGGATATTCCCTGGTGTAAGATTACTTACAAAGAACCAAGATCGGACACCGATGACTTCATCAGTGGCCCCCTCGGCAATGTTAATATGAGGAATTAAATGAGCCTAATGCAAAATGCACGATAACTAAACGCGGTGGAAGGAACCTTAACCCTCCTCGACAGGTTCCCCTCAAGAGCTCATCGAGTCGTCATTAAAAAAGTAGACAAAGCGACGGACAAAAAAGACAAAGAGAAAACCGAGGGATCCTATTGGTGCAATCGGGTGGTTACAATGGACAAAGCAGGTAGGTAACAGACATTTCTTCTATGTCTACAAGAGCCACTCGTTTCTACCAATAGGGTCGCTCCATTTTCCTTTGTATTTTTTATCTATCACTTTGTCTATCAATTCCAATAATCAGTGCGCTGGACCTGATTGGGCGACTCGGGCACGGAGCAGACTTGAAAGCGGCTTGTCCGTGGGCGCCAATTTTGGCCCTCGACCATCCACAGTGGAGTGAGGCGGGGCGGGGCAGGGCGGAGCAAAGGGGGCCGCCAACGCGATGATTGATGAAGACCCGCGGCTCAACGGCTATACGACAAAGAGCCTCGCCAAAAAGGGGTATTTTTTAGCCACTTTTTGGATACCCGAGTTGTTCAACCGGACAAGGCTCAAATGAAAGCTTATGGTAAGGCAAACTTCCATGCAAAGTTCGAACTTGAAGTGACCCCTCGTTTAGGCTGTACAGCGTTGCCAATTTTCCATTTTCATGTGCTAATATCAAGGAATTATGCATCATCATGGTTCAACAGACTAGTACACCCGAATTGGTCAACGAGATAAGGCTCAAATGAAAGCTTATGGTAAGCCAAACTTCCAGTAAAAGTTTCAACTTGAAGTGATACCTCGTTTAGGCTGTACAGCGTTACCAATTTTTCATTTTTATGCGCTATAATCAAGGAATTCTTATTAGCCCAGTGCATCATAGTTAAACAGACTTGGAAATCGGTCTGCAGGCTGAATACTACCCTGAGATCGTATGGAAACGCAACTAAAGGCCACCCAGAACTTTTCGAGGCAGTGTTGCCAGTTTTTTAATTTATTTTTTTAACGTAGAATGAGGGTATTTTCGAGATTTTTGGCGGAAAACGTACCTTTATGGGCTATAACTTTGACGAGTATAGGCAAATTCAATTTTAGGTATGAACGACAACTAAATGCAATGGCGTGAGGCCCTCTTACCTCAAATAACAGAGAAAACCACAGGAATCACGTTTTGCCTTTCAAAAATGGAGCTGAAAAATATCTTCATTTTATAGTAAAAATGCCATGAAGTGGTAACATCCGCTTAAAAATTCGTATTCTCCTTTAGAAACCAATCCTATAGTATTGTATGGTAATATTTCGCATACACCGTATGGTGACAGCACCTATAAGTACAATTTTCGCGCCAAAAACTCAAAAATATCGGCGTCTTACCGTAAAATAAATATTCCTAATTTGGCAACGTTGGTCTGAAACTTTCATTTTTGCCTTGAAAAGTAATCATAAACTATGACACGGTGGTATTTAGCCATCAGAATGGGAGAAGTACCTTGAAAATTACGTTTACCGAGCATTCACTTGAAAATATTTTTACTTCTTGTAAGAAATTAAAATTAAATTGGCAACATTGCTTCCGGAATTCAACTTTTTCCATAAGTAGCGATCATTTACTATCGTGTGGTAATGTTTTAAGCCCATACTCGTCAAAGTTTTGGCGCATGAAGGGACGTTTTCCGCCAAAAATCTCGAAATTACACTCATTTTATGTTAAAAAATACATAAAAAATCGGCAACACTTCTTTGAGAAAAGCACGATGGCCTTTAATTGCGTTTCTATACGATCTCAGGGTAGTACTCACCTTGTAGACCGATGCAGTAGTCTGTTTCATTATGATGCACTGGACTACTAGTCCAGAATTCCTTTATTTTAGCAAATAAAAATGAAAAATTGGCAACGCTCTACAGCCTAACCGAGGTGTCACTTCAAGTTGAAACTTTGCCTGGAAGTATGCCTTACCATAAGCTTTCATTTGAGCTTTCCCGTTGACCAACTCGGGTATCCAAAAAAGGGGCTAAACTTGGCGAGGCTCTTTTATTACAGAAATTAAGAGAACGCTCGTAGATTAGTTGAGGGAGCGTGTTAGTTACTCGGATGAAAGACCGTTCTTTATGTAGACAGACGCGGTGGCTACGTCATGATTCAACTGTAAACAAACATAAGAACCTTGTCTATGATTCGCGTCCAGAGACAAGAGACCCTCCACTACTGGTACCTTCAACGATATGGAAACTGTTGATTGGTGGTGACCTACGAATGAACGTGACATACATGGAACGGTCATTCGATAGGCGGGCGGGGAGTGAAAATGGCCAATTGCCATCTTCGTCATAATCTCAGATACATGGGATCTTACAGGAGTTTTTACAGTACATGATTTTACGTTTAAATTTTCATCGGAAACTCACTTAATGAATGGCTTAGTTCCATATCTTGCCACAGATTTTCAAATAGTTGGTTCTAAAGATATAAGTCCTTATTCAGCAACAGTCCCATAAGGAACCATAGAAACCTTAGGATATCTTCGTCCTAACCGAATTGTTGTTGCTGGTGTGTTGCGAATTTCACTGTTGGCGTAGCATAGGATCACTCTATCTATAGCTTCTAGATCATGGCGTCACTCGAAGCTCACACTCTAAAAAAAAGACTCCGGGCGTGGGACCCGTTTGCTCCAGGTGTTGGCGATTTCGGCCTCTGAGGCCCGTACTTCCAGGCTCTGAAGCCGGAGTCCGTTCAAAGTGCTCAGGTTTCGGAAGCCGGGCGACCAGGTCAAGCGTATACGTAAACTCCGGGTTCCACGATTCTTAGTCCCTGAGAAAATGGCGTCATCTTCAGATTAAAATAGCTGTGGCTACCGCGCTCGGAGGCCGGAGCAGTGAGCACTCCGGGCAACCGCGCGGCGACTCGGAGTAGTACTAGCCTATGACTCCTAGGAGGCCGTAACCGACGGTATGTCTATATGGCCCGCACAGTCTAGCCTCCAAAGCCGGTACTTCCAGCTCCCACGCCCGGAGTATTTTTTTTTTTTTTTTGCAACATCTACCTGGCAGGTAGGTCAACAGCCGACAAAAGTGATAAATGTTATCCCCTCATAATTGTCCATAAGGAAATATTGAGTCCCCGAATGAAAGTAAGGTCTCTTGTCTCTGATCTCGCCCTTGGCGCCATCCCAAGTAAAAATGGCGAGTGTTAGGTCAGTGAATTTTCCACTGAGGTCAGTGCAATTTGCTCTGAGGTCAGTTCAGTTTGCTCTGACGTAAGTGTTAAAGCACTTACCCAAGAAGTCAGCACTGAGGTA